TGGGACACACTGTATAAATACTGGATGCTTCATCACCTCATAATCATATGAACCTCAATGATGAGTCAAATTAAAAATGACTATGATAACAATCAGAAGATTAAAAAAATATATTTAGCTATAGTAAATATAAGGTGGTGCAATAATTAGGCTGGCGGGTGTAATTTTGGAAGTAAACAAAACGGCTGAGATCAAGTAACTTAACTCAACGACTAGGCAATTCAATTCAGTACAAGAACAGATTATTTTACCCTTAACCGTAACAATTTCGTTTATGAATAATATAACATTATTACCACCTATAGAAATCTGATTCAAATATATATATTTAGGGGGTCAATAAAAATATTTTAGCGAACCGACAAATGAAAATTTCCAACAATCCTCAAGTACCGATTCATTTGAAAAACTATAAAAATAAAGTCAGTCTAAAATATATACACTATCGTGTCTAATATAAAATAAAACAGAATCATACTTTTCTTTGACGATTAATAAATAAAGACTTCAAGCATATTACGTTTCCTTTGGCAGCTATGATATCCATAAAGGTATTGCTGATTATGCCGAGATAACACATAAAATTACAAAAAAAACGTATAAAAATCCTAAGACACTGAATTTCATTGATTTGACACTTGTTGAAATTAGTATGTACTTCAATAAACCGCTTACACAGAGCATGATCTACTCTTCTATCACAAAATATTTTCAGTTATTATTGCCTAGAAAATAAGATGTCTAGAAGAGAATGGTATGAACAAAAAAAATTAAAAATACATGGTGTCTGTAAAAGATCTTTACAAAAACATACATATTCCTCAGACCAAAATAACTCCATTTAATTAAGTAAAATTACCTCAGTACAAAGTTGCATCGTTTGGGCTCCAGAGGGCCTTGAAGTTACAATTTTTCAATCGTTTTCCCCATATAGATTTAAAATGGCATATGCGATTTTGCTGAAATTCGGTATATTGATAGAGTTTAATGTGGCAAAAAAATGGTGTCAAAATTTTATTCGATAATAATACATAGGCGTAGAACTTGATTTTTTAAATAATTGCACCTTTGAAAATTCTACGCCAATGGAAGAGAAGAAGTTTGAGTATAAAATTCAGATTGCGCAACTCATTTACTTTGAAAAAGGTACTCTTGATGAGACTCGATTGCTCTCATGGTTTTGACGAAATTTGCATTTTAGTATTTTGGAACATAAAAAATAATTATTAAAATACAAACTTTGTCAGAACCATGAGAGTAAATTGAGTGTTATCAAGGGTACTTTTTTGTAGTAAATGAGTACCCAATCCAAATTTCATACTCAAACCCCTTTTCTGCCATTCGCGTAGAATTTTTAAAGGTGCAATTATTTAAAAAATCAAGTTCTACGCCAATGGCTGAAAAAGGGTTTTAGTATGAAATTTGGATTGGGTACTCATTAACTGCAAAAAAGTACCCTTGAAAACACTCGATTTACTCTCATAGTTTTGACAAAGTTTGTATTTTAATAGTTATTTTGTATGTTCTAAAATTACTAAAATGCAAATTTCGTCAAAACCATGAGAGCAATCGAGTCTTATGAGTTTTTAAAGTAAATGAGTTGCGCAATCTAAATTTTATACTCAAACTTATTTTTTCCATTGGCGTAGAATTTTTAAAGGTGCAATTATTTAAAAAATCAAGTTCTACGCCTATGTATTATTATCGGACAAAATTTTAACGCCATTGTTCTTGCCACCTAAAATTCTATCAATACACCAAATTTCAGCAAAATCGCATATGCCGTTTCAAATTTATATGGGAAAAACGATTGAAAAATTGTAACTTCAGGGCCCTCTGGAGCCCAAACGATGCAACTTTGTACTGAGGTAATTTTACTCAAATCGACTTATTTTGGTCTAAGGAATATGTGGTATGTCTTTGTAAAGACCTTTTACAGACACCTTGTATTTTGCACCTTGTTCAATAATCAATTTTATAGCAATTTGACTGAGTGTTTACACCATTTACTTCTAGCATCTTATTCAAGACATAAGTACTTATAACAAATGGAATACATGTATAAAAATATCGGTCTTGTGATGCTACTTGTATGGAATGAATATCATTTTCAAAATTTTACTAATCATAAGATATTGATAGGTACACATGAAGAAGATTTTGAGTATTTTCGAAGTTCCAGAACAATAAAAAAATAATCATCTTGCTCTGACCTTGATGTATGTAAAGTTATTTAAAATCAAAATATTTGTTAATTAATGTTGTATCTCATCAAGAAGAATTCTTGAAAAAATTATCGAATCAGTGCAAAATAAAAACGAATTTTCTTCTAAATTCCACAATGTAATGTCAGATCAATAAAATTTATGTTATCACTATAGCCAGCACGATACTTCGAACAAATTACGTCATAGCATATATGTATTGATTGTATTGGATATCGGATTGGATTTCACTGCCACTTTAAAATCTCGTGGTCTAACAAAGTATGATACGCCCTGTACAGTGCAAAATCAATTCAAAGGCGGCGAAGAATAGCTGTATTCGTCTAAGAAAATCCACACAGGCGAATCGCGAGATTTAATACAAAAATTTAAAAAAATCGTGTTCCGCCTGAACAGAGTTCACTTAGCGTTGAGAGAGAAAAAATGTTCAAATGTCTTCCCCATCTGTCCTTGTCTTCAGTGTTCCAACGTGAAATAATGAAAATGTTATGTCGGCAACACTGAAAATAGGAAAATGGAGAAGACCATTCTAACCTTCTTTAAAATGAGGTTAATATGATCTTCTTCTCCATTTTATCTCATTTCTAATGTTGCCAACATACAATTTTTCGATATTTTACGTTGGAACACTGAAGACAAGGACATATGGGAAAGAGATATTTTCTCCCTCTCAAAGCTAGCTGACCTTTTCTAGAGTCACTGGATGGTATTACTTAGATAGGAGTTCGGACACAGAAATGACAACTATCAAGTGTTTTTGAATGTTCAGATCATTGTCTGCTAAATATGGAGACAAAATCTAGTGAGCTGGAACTACTGGTCTTCCCTATAGCTCAGTTGAGTGTATGACCACTAGAGGATGTTACCGTATCGTACGAAATGATCTTCACTTTTTTCTAGAAAAATTTCGAAATTTGTGGTTATGTAAGTTGTCACTAGTTGTCAGTGTCAAGAGCTGTCATGCCATTGTGACTCGTTTTGTATTTTTTTTTCTGAAATATCATTCTTTTTCAATTCTCATCGTTCTAATATTCCTTTCGTTTATAGATATAGTTTTGTGTTGTGCTCCAAGTGATATTTCATTGCGACATAAGTGGATACATTCGATATTGAGTGTTACAGGATCATTACAAGTAAGAAAATCAGAGCCCATATCAAAAAATGCTAATAATCGATACTACTGATTCTACCTCTCATGGAAAAAACGATTCCATCTGGTCCAAGAATAGGTGTCATGACAAATCATCATTTCCTATGAGATTTGAAAGCATTGGATCATTCTCCTATAGGATCTAATTCCTACAGATTCGAGAATCAGGCCCCAGGGCTGTAAGGACCAGTATGCCAGTAGGAGGGCTCGGTCTCTACATATCTGTCATATCTCCACACTGCATGAATTATTTTTGAATTTTTGAGTGACTGAATGACCGTGATTCGTGAATGTCGTGACTGAACTCAAACTCACTGAACAAACTACGCCGCCGTCCACTGAGGGAGGCTCCAACTCATTTACGATTTTTGAAAGGTTATGTAGGTTTGACAGGAAAACAATTGAAACGAGTGTTTCCTCAAGTCACTGTATCGGCCACAGAACCCTGAAGGTGATTTCCCTTGGGCAGACCAGATACACCAGCTCACTAGATTTTTTCTACATATTTAGCAGACAATCGTTTAGATTCATTATGTTAGACACCTTGCATTGAGACAAGTGCACCATAGTCGTTCACGCTTTTTCCTTGAAAATCATTTGAAGTTGACAATACATTTTATGAACGTCAGAATTGAAATATAATTTTATAAATTATTGAGAAGAGAGCGTTAATGAAAACGTCCTGCTGTGTAATGAATTGTGGTAATTCTGAAGAGAATGAATATCATTTATTTAATTTTCCAAAGGAAATCAACCATTCTCATGGACGAAATCCACGAAACGACCTGGATGAAAAATTAATTTGAAGACAAGCAAAATTTGTGAGGTACATACATTGAAATTTACTTTTTATAACAGCAGTTTACAATGAAACTATATCTTCGGCCCATTTTCAAATAGAGGATTTTAAGATTCGTTTACAAAACAGACTATTTAAAAAATAATTCATTATTATCATCACACGAAATGAAAAACAAAACTATCATGGAGAAAGAGGAATTGAATACAAATCGTAATGAAATTCAAAATTTGAAAACGAAACTGAGAAAATCAAGTGAATTGCAACGTAATATATCATTGAAAGGCGTTTTCATTCTTCAATACCGATCAAACTAGCTATAATTATATCCATATGTGTCTATTTTGTCATATTAAAATGTTGTTACATGCATTCTTTTCATTTTTATAACTGTTGTTCTGTGAACAGTGGGTGTTTATACTCTATTTCTTTTTCCATCTACGGCTATGATTGATTTGACAGGAAATCTAACCTCTTAATTCTTAAATACTGTCTTAATTCTTATCTGACAATCAGGCGCTATTAGGGAAATTGAAACGACAAAGAGCAGAATATATTATGTCTTATTCTTTCATTCACTCAAACCATAGTAATATAGAAAATAGAAAATTACATGTGTCCGAACTCTGATCTAATAATACCATCCAGTGACTCTAACCTTCTCTATTCCATTTCGACAACGACAACAATCACCACCGCCCTGTATGACAATAATATCACCTTTCAAAAATCTCACTGAATTCCATGGGAGAAAACCTAATCTCTTCGGTATGCACCAAACGGAAGCGACAACAAGGGAATCCGTCGATGGAAAAAATGGAACGATTCAGAGACAACTGTCCGGATGTTGACTCTGAGACTTCCGCAACTTACCGCCCTTCGTTTCCGTCTTCACCTGGTCGATGCTCATTTTCCTCGGGTTGCCTAACGTTACCAGAGCGCTGGCAATCGCCAGTCCGGCAGACTGACCTATACACAAAAATGGTAGCCATTGAAAAAAAAATTAGAATTTTTTCAATAGTCAATTGGGGAATAGAAAACAAAAAGTTTTTTTTTTATGGCACATTGACACATCTTTGAAAGCTGTGAATGATTTCGGTGTACCTCAAGGCAGTATATTAGGGCCACTACTTTTTGTCCAGTAAAATAATATAAATGATTTTGGTGTACTTCAAGGCAGTATATTAGGGCCACTACTTTTTGTCCAGTACATCAATGAAGTTATTTTTGATGGAGTCACATCTTTAGAAGCTATAAATGATTTTGGTGTACTCGAGGTGGGAAGTGATTCATTCCTGGCGTGAGATTAGTTAGTTAACCGAGACGCAAAGCGAGTTATTTTTAATGGCGACACATTTTTGGAAGCTGTAAATGATTTCGGTGTACCTCAAGGCAGTATATTAGGGCCACTACTTTTTGTCCAGTAAATCAATAAAGTTCTTTTTAATGGCGATACATCTTAAGATGCGGTAAATGATTTTGGTATACCCCAAGGCAGTTTATGAGGGCCACTAATTTTCGTCCAGTACATTAATAAAGTTATTTTTGATGGAGTCACATCTTTAGAAGCTATAAATGATTTTGGTGTACCGAAGGCAGTATATCAGGGCAACTACTTTTTGTCCAATACAGTAATTACAGACAAATGTCGTGAAGATGACTTCGAGTATTATTAAAATTATTATCAATGACGCGTTAGAAGTGCTGCAAAAATTAATACAGGTCCGTTTCGACACAGTAGAGTAATTGAATGCCAATGGGCGTGTACACCTTAGTAGAACTTTCAACTCAAACCATGTTTATAATGATCCTTTTATACATAAATAATGATTGACGACATAATTCGATCGAAAATTTACCTGGAATGTTTTATTTTTGGACATGAATAATAGTACCTTCTGAAAACGGACCCTCTAATGACGTAGAAACCTCTGCTCGCCATCGTCAAAAGAAAATACCAAACGCCCGACGGAGACTGAGGCAACTGATATATTAATTCTTTCAACTGTGATCTCGCGCTAATTCAGTTTCTCAGAAATCATGTATCATTCATCTCTGTCTGGAATAGTCTTGTTTCAGTATTAGGGCCTTGACGTCACATCATCGCCTCGTTTTCAGAGGTCTGAAAAATCGGGGATTTCAATATTTTTTTATAAAACGTAGGGAGCTCACAGCAAGAAACGGTTTGCGGTGGTGAGCTAGTTTGGGTGAGTTCTATCGAATTATGAAATAAAACTTTTTTGTGATATAAGCCCATTATTCACTACTAGTCCACTAGCCCATTCTAATGTATTTACAAAACGATCCTGAGTGATTAAAAACTTCAATATTTCTTTTCAGTTCTTCGGAAAATTGCGTATACATATGATTGAATAAATGACAACAGCATTACAAGCGCCTAGCTAGACCAGCGAATCTTTGATTCATCAAGGTCAAATGAAGTCACCCACAACACATGATATTTCTTCCCTCTTTATGTTGAGAAACTACAACTACTACGAGTAAAGTGATAGCTCAGTGGTTTGTGTATTTGACTTCCACGGTGGTGACTGGGGATCAATCCCTGGGAGGCGTCATTTTTTTAAATTCGTTTCACTCAATTAATTTTTCAGAAATATACTCTCTACGAAAAATAATAATAAGATGGACAGTTCAATCAGAATCAATTGATACAAGGAGAGAGTTAAATTGAGAAAATATATTTCTCTAGTTCACACTTAAATTTTGTGACGAACCTAATAGATTGTATTCTGTTGGGTCGGCTATTATGAATATTTATTCCACAAAAATACAATGGTTTTTTCCCGAATTGGGTTCTTATTTTGACAGTTTTCAAATGTTCACTTTGTCTGGAGTGATGCTCATGGGTATCAGAATTGATATTGAAAGTAAGATTCCAGTGGCCAGGTAGCCGTGCGGACAGAGTGTCTATATTCTAATTCGCATTCGCTTGCCGGTCGTGGGTTCGATCCCCGTCGACTGCAGAAATTTTTCTGATGGCCCAAGAAAGTGTTTGGGATCACACGTTAAAAGGTAAGGCCCCCGTCACTCCTTGCTCGCACAAGACTTTCGAAGACTTTTGAGGGTTGCTCGTAAGGGGGCAACCGAATGACGGATAGAACAAACAAACAAACAAGTGCTCTTATTTAGGACAAGTAAGATTAAAAGTACTCTCCTTTTTAATACAGAAGAGATATTTTCCTTCCTCATCTTACCTTCTAAGATTGGCTGGTCTAACTAGACACTTCTAACAGAGCTCACCTTTGCCGATGTAGGGCTCGCCCCCTGTGGGCAACCGCACCAACAAACTCAACACGGCCGCCCTGGATCCGTAACAGGGCTCGAGGGCGATGGGACTGGGCGCGTCGGCCGCCCCTCGCTTCCTGCCCTTCGACTCGCCTCCGTCTTTGGCGTCTTCCGCCGAGGGCTTCTTCGTCTCTTTCACCTACGACCATCGCTTGCTTAATTTACACATCTCCAAGAAGTTAACGCATCACCAGAACGCAGCCAAAAGTTTACAATTCATAACAACTGGTCCGATTTTGACGTTAGATTTTTTATGTATGACATGTTATCGTTAAAAGAGATCTTACAAAATTGTAATTTCATACTTGATCTCAATACGACATTATTCAATTCTGTTTTGGAAGGATGGTAAAACGTGCTGCGTTAGGCTGTATCCAATCAGTTGAATGGCAAATTTGAATTTGTCAACTTACCATTAGATAAAAATGAACTCAGAAAATGGAAAGTGAAGTGACCGAATGGGGAGGATTGGTAAATACATCAGCAAAATATTCGAGGGTGAAACTAATACGGAATCATATATTATATTTTCTAATTGTGCCTTCAATTATCCACTCCACAAGTTTTTTATTGCATTTTAGTAGAAACAGTTTTGATTGAAACGGAGGATAAAAAGGAGAGGCATATGTCCTACCATTTAAAAAATTATACCTACAATCAGCAAATATTAAGTGTTCGTGAAAAACTGCATAAATGATTCCCAACATGAATATATACAGCACACATGACATATGAGCACATTCGTTCAAATTCCTACACAAGATTTTTCACATTAGGCTTAGCCTGAAATCAAAATTAATTTATTGCCTAAGAACAGTCCCATTTGCTAAAACTTATTAAACTTTCAGAACAATTTGCTCAATGCCTCACAAAGATTTTGCTGGAGTTGAAAAATCAAAAACTCGAAAATTATCATCATTATTTGGATATAATATATTATGCAATACACACATGAAAGCACTTCATTTCAATGATAATTGAAATCTAGTAGCCATGTAGGTTTTATAGCTAGTGCTGAAAACCCTCATTTTTTTTATAACAATTGCAGGGGCAAGTGGAATAAGGATTTATGTTACAAATTTGGGCTCTTGAGAAAAATAGGTTTTAGTAAACCTAGCCGGTAGTTTTTATTGAAAGCTAAAAAAAATTGTTCAAAATTGTTCTATCCGTCATTCGGTTGCCCCCTTACGAGCAACCCTCAGAAGTCTTCGAGAGTCTTGTGCGAGCAAGGAATGACGGGGGCCTCACCTTTTAACGTGTGATCCCAAACACTTTCTTGGGCCATCAGAGAAATTTCTGCAGTCGATGGGAATCGAACCCACGACCAGCAAGCGAATGCGGATTAGAATATAGACACTCTGTCCGCACGGCTACCTGGCCGATGATGCTAGTTTAATAATTTGATTCATGCAATTGTGAGGAATAGTTTTAAAGTTGATTTTTTCGGATTCACAACATTTTGCTATCATGTTTTTGATAGACATCTGGATTTATTCATACATAACACTTTCTTCCATTTCGTGACATGTAGGCAATGGGCACATAGCTCCTTCTTTCAATGCATAATTGATGTTTAATGTAACATAGCCCTTTCTACCTCTTGTGTATCTGCTGAGGTATGAAACAAATCCTGACGGGGCAAGTTACATAAATGCACATAACATGTTCTTCCATGACATAATCCAATATTTTCGGAAAATGTTACTTGACCCCTTCTTCCACTGGCCCCTTCAATTGTAATACTTTGTAGAGTGTTACATTCACGTTATCAAGTTAGAATTGAAATTACCCTTTAGCCTTCTTTTTTCAATATTTCTTTTTTAGATTTACTCCATTATCTTTCCTGTCCAATTAACCAGTTTTTAGAATATCAATAAATAATATTCAAGTAATTTTACACAAGGAAATTCAACGTTCTATATACCTACTCTCAAACCCAATAATGTCTAATGTAGGAATTAATTTATTTTGAACTTTACTTCTCTGACGTTAGGTTTAGAAAAGGCTGTTACTAAACAAACATAGTTTGGTCTCATGATGAAACAAAATATTATTATTAGTATTATTATTATTACCTCCATCTCGACCAGCACCTGCGAAAAGGGCCGCGACGCCATTTGCTCCATCTCGACGAAAAGTCGTTGTCTGCGTCGGTACATGTCGTACCGTTGCTTGATTTTCCACAAGATGGCCGCCACCAGCAGCAGCATCAAGAAGCACCTGGGCAATTTTCGATGGAATTCAATAGAACCAATTTGCAATATGTAAGAACTGAATGATGATGATGATGATGATTTTCGCATTTTGACTTACAGCGTAACCTCATCTCATTGGCCGATTCGTCAGAAAGCGCTTATCGAGGTCATAAGCTAGAAAGTCGGTTTCAGACCGACTTTGGCAGAAAAAAGCTCAGATCGTTTGACAGAACCACACAAATATTGACAAAATGAATACATATTGGTGCTATATCACATATATTATGCAGTGTGGGAAACAGTACTCGAAAAACACTCCTAAAAATGTGATAAATGTAGTTTCTGGAGGACGTACATCTGAAATTTAACCAAATATGTGGCAGTCACTGTCACTTTTCCAACTTTTTCATGTGAACAGTGCGCCCGTTTTAATCAAGCTTTCTGCTGTAGGCATAAGCTAGCATGTGAACTCGCCATAAGTAATCCATATATCTACTACTCATATATGAATCATAGCTGTCCCCAAAGCGGGACCAACTTCTGTCTCTATAGTTAACGAAATCGACAAATAGGCGTTGATGCCGACGTAGGGAAAAAATAATATGAAACTTGTCAAACCAATATGGCTGTTTCCATCCTTCACTTTCCGTCCTTATAGATTCAAAAAGTACGTCTCATTTTGGTCTCATTTTTGTTGAGATATCATATAGGCGATGAAATAGTACATATATGGAGTAATCGTTTCCGCCATTTTATTGCCATCAAACGAGCAGGGAGAGAGTTGACAATTTGAAGATAAAAATTGTGATATTATGTACGAGAAAGTACATCAATAGCCATTACGACCAAGAAATAATGAAATAAAAACGAGAACTCATAACCTAACATAGAGATGTTCCTAAGAAAAAGGTTGAATATCTTTTGTAATCACCCAGTCCATGAAGTGCATGTAAAATTTATCATAGATTTTTTTTAATTCAATTGGAATTGGACACCACTTGAAAATGTTTATACTTGACGTGTTCTGATTGGATATCAGTTGAAATCAAATGTCAAATGATAATGTATAACCATAGACCACTCCATTATACTCAAGTACGTTATTTTATAGGCCCAAAATCAGTTTCATGAGAAAAAGTACGTGTTTTCATTTGCCAATATCTGTATGAAAATGAGAATCCCTGTTTAAATGAACATAATCAATAAACCGGTAGCAGATATCTAGTTTGCGTATAAGGTAGTAAAAAGAATGTATTTTGACATTACATATAGCAAGTAGTGGTCATTTGAATCCTCATATTGACACTAGTATTAACAGGACCACCATCAGAACATTCAAAAACTAAATTATAAAAAAACCATTTGAATAATTATCATTATTTCACATCAAAGTTTTCTCAAAGGCAAGACATTTTTCAACAGGATGCAGAACTCATCAAAATAGAGACAATCACCATTATTGAAGTTGCAAATATCGAAGTTCAGAAACTCACCAATAGAATTGGCCCTGGTATATTTACCATTGCAGCTGGTACAGGCCTTCCAACATGTCGTTCTCTTCATTCCTTCAAACACCCTGTGCCATGATACCTCCGCACCAAATTAAGGAACATTCGCGATTCCGTGTACAAACGAAATGCTCCTGCTGCACTTTGGCGACACTCACCATAAATCGAAACCATGTAAACAGGTTTCTTATTTTTGTAAATGTGCCACATTGTTTGACAATGAACAGAAAAAAACAATTGCACCAAAAGGTCCGATGACTGAGTCGGATAATCACCGAATAGAGATTCATGCGGCCAGTACTTCAACTGTTGATGATATCTCCATTACTATTCAAATACATTCAAAAAGTTGATATCATATGGGAAAACATTTGAAAAATAATGTATTTTGAAATTTGACTTGATTGTTGAGTTTTGCTTCACAAAATATGAAAAATGGCTTAATGGTCGGAGTCATGTGGCTTTAGTTACATTTGTTACAAATTAATCGCTGAAAATAGGCAAATTTGTTCGGATTTCAAGAAGGTCTATGAAGACACGTTGTTTCTATTCTACTTTTACAAATGTATTTCGAATTTGAACATTCTCAGTACTGAAAAAATCAATTTATATAAATTTCGCTCCTGAATTATAGACGATACATCAACTTTGCATCAAAGAATAAAAATTTGAAGCAGGGATTACAGGGATTACAAACTCATATTTCTGTCGATAATTGGTGTTTGAAAGTTAGTAGCATGATAAATCTACTAGATAGAAACAGTTTAGTGGGTGTTAATTTTTTTTATATTTCGTAGAAATTGAAAAAATAATAACTAAAAGTTGTCATAGAACATTCAAATTCGAGACATAGGAAATATTGGACAAGCAAAAACTTTTTCTACAGTAAACTGTTTTGAAATTCAATCCAATTAGCCTATTTTCAGCGATTTATTTGAAAAAAAAAATCAACTTCTGACATGTAGCGATAGTCACGTGACCCGTACCCTAACAACACGGGATCTTGCTGGTACATCCCGCTAAGGTCCTACAAATGTCCCAATGTTTCAGACTTAAGTACGATATCCCAGAGATGTTTCTCTTGGGACATTCATCAGATGTTTTCATTGGATGTTCTAGAAACGTCCCATTTGATCTTTTTTTATAAATAATATCATGGTTCCATATTTGCCAATGATGATTGACATGATTTAACAGTTTTTCAGGATTTCAGATTGAAAATAATTCATACCGTGTCATCCATTACTGTCATCAAACAAAAAACATCCTAAAAGTTTCTCTAAGATGTTCCATATCAAGTACCCTGAATGTCTCTGGTACATCCCGTATCATCTCACAAACATTCTGATGGGATGTTTATAAGACATCGCAAATGCTGACACGGGTGTTGCCAGCAACATCCCAAGAATGTCCCAAGGAAAATAGGGATTTTCCAGAGATGTTCCTATCATCCCATATGGATGTTTCTACGACGTCTTAGAAATGTTATTGTGTTATTAGGGGTAACTGAGTAGTTATTTATTTTATATTTTAAATGCAAACCTAAACGCCTTCGTCAATTGTCGAAATGGATTATTATTAAAAGTCTTTTCCATCTAATGCCGACTTTATGAATGACTCTTATTCATTTCTACATCCTCCTAAAAAATGCCCCACATCTGGCAACACCCTGTGTATGTGAAACCATACAATTACCAACTATTGTTCTCCCACTTACGATGAGAATGTGATGAAAAACTGTTGCAGATTCAGCTTGGGATACTGGCTGAAGGAAATCTGGATCCACAATGGCGGCTGGAAATCGTACACGTACACGTAGAACGTGGTCTGCGTGACGTTATCCTCTCCGCCGAATTTGTACAACGATTTGGAAAACTTGGAGCGCACCGTCGTGCAATTGTAGTTTTCGTGGATGAGTTTCTCTTCGGCGTTGTCCGTGCGAACGGTGATGTTCATTTTCGCCAGAACCGAGCACGTGATGAGGAAATCGGCATCGATGTCGGCCTTGATCGGGGAGTTGCGGAAGTTGATTTGGGTGTAGTGGCGGTCCTCCTTCTTCGACAGGTTGAACGTGAATTGGTAATCGATGGTCAAGTCGTCTGAAATCGTTCGTATTCGATTCAATAATCGTCAAGTAAATTTATTTCTACCGCCCTTTGTATTTATGCCATGTACAGTCGGTAGGAGTTCAGTAGTAGTAGTAGTAGTAGTAGTTGGAGTTAGAGCCACTGGATGGTATTGATTAGAGTCACTGGATGGTATTAGTTTGATAAGAGTTCGGACACAGCTGGAATTTTGTCCTTTTCTATTTTCTATAATACAATGGTTTAAGTGAATAAAAGAATAAGACATATATTCTGCTCTGTTTTTTTAATTTCCCTAGTAGCGCCTGATTGTCAGATACGATTTTAGAGGTTATATTTTCTGTCAAATCAATCATGGCCGTAGATGGACAATGGATATAGGGTACAAACACTCACTTCAATTCATAGTGATTCACTTCTAGCAGAGCAAGATTTATGTAAATGAAAAAAAAATGCATGTAACAACATTTCAATATCAGAGAATATATACATATGGATAAACTTATAGCTATGATTCCTTTTTGTATGTGGAACTGTACTCTAGTGAAGTATTCCTGAGTCAATTTTGAGAAATAAAGTCTATATAAGCTTGTGTCTGGAAATGCTTTATTTCGGAGATACAGGGTGTTGAAATACAGAGACAAATCATTTTTTGATAAAGATTTCATGGGAGAAAAGTAATTTATTGTGACGAGACCTACCAAATACTTGGTTTTGTTAAGTTCTCAGCAACTTCACTTAGCGCCCTAGGAGCTAAGTAACATGGATCGATATAGAAAATATCTCCAAAACGATAACCTCCAGCGTAATTAAGGCCCTTACAATAATTCCCTTGATACATAAATATCTATTCAGTTTCCACTGTTGAATTTTCGCGGTCAGCACCAAAACGCCATTCAACAATATATCACGTTGTAGTTTATTTGCTTTTCTTAGTTTTGTTTTCAAATTTTCAATTTCATTATGTAATTTTACGATCATTGCCTCTTTCCATGATTATTTTGTTTTGTATTTTGTGTGATGATAATAATGGAATTTTGTTCTTGAAATCGTCTGCTCTGTAAATTGATGAAACAGCAGATTTTGAAATCTTCTGTTTGAAAATGGGCCTAAAAAATAGATTCATTCTAATCAGATGCTGTTATAAGAAGTGAGTTTCAATGAGTACCTCACAAATTCCGCTCGTCTTCAAATTGATTTTCCACCCAGGTCTTTTCATATCTTCCTTCCATAAGCGAATGCTTGATATTTGATTTGGAAAATCGAATAAATGATATCCATTTGTTTCAAAATTGGCACAATTTATTATACAGCAAGTGATTTCCATAGCTGCTTTTATCTCGAAAGTATAATAATTATGAAATTTTATTTCAATTCTGACGTTTATATAATGAATTGTCAAATTCAAAAAATTTTGAATGAGAAAGCGCCGGACGACTATGGTGCTCTTGTCACAATGCAAGGTGTGTAACTTTATAAATCTAAACATTCAAAAACCCTAACTGTTGTCATTTCTGTGTCCGAACTCTTATCAAACTAATATCCAGTGACTCTAGTATTGATTAGATAAGAGTTCGGGCACAGAACTGACAACTGTTAGTGTTTTTTAATGTTTAGATTATCAAGTTACACACCTTGCATTGTGACAAGACATAGTTTTCCCGCGCTTTTTCAATCACGATTGTTTGAATTTGACAGTACATTTTATGAACGTCAGAATTAAAATATAATTATTGAGAGGAACACCATAAATGAAAATGTCTTGCTGTGTGATGAATTGTAGGAATTCTGAAGAGAATAGATCTCATTTATTCAATTTTCCAAAGGAAATATCAAGTAATGCTAAAGGAAATATCAATTCATGCATGGAACGGCCTTGATGGAAAATTAATTCTTTGGAGACAAGCAAAATTTGTGAGGTAAATTCACTTATCATAACTTTGTAGAATGTAGAGTCACTGGATGGTATTAGTCTTATCTAACTAATACCAGTTAGTATAAGTTTTATCTAACTAACTGGTATTAGTTAGATAAGACTAATACCATCCAGTGACTCTAGTAGTAGTATATGTACTTCGTTGGTATGTAACTACAGAGAGATTGTTTATATTTTACTCAATAGCGATCTCAGTTAATGTTGGTTCTACAAAACCGTTTCAATGGGCAAATATAAAGTATTTTTCATGAGTATTGAGAATTCAGTACTAGAAAATGCAAAAAAAATTATACACTCCTGACTGAAATTTCGGAATGATTTCACTGAATTGGGCATATGAAGTTTAGTTCCTTTGATGAATTGCATCATTTTATAACATGGCGTTTCTGAAATAATCAAGAAATATCATCCTCAGGAGCCGCTTCTCAGACATAGCTCCTGTAGGAGACATTTTTCGACTTATATTCATTAGAACTTTTCTTCCTATTTTTGGTTGTAGAAGCCGCTGGTGAAGTTTGGCAGGCTAATCTCGGGACAACCTGTATATTTGTGCAATGAAATTGCAGTCGGTAGAAGTTTATATTAATAACACTATTTTACCATATAATCATATACAGGGTGAGTCAATAGTGTGTTCTCCTTTTATATTAGCCGAACCGGCAGATATATAGAAAAAATTCGAAAACAACAGTTATAGGGTTTCTTGGGAGCTATCACCTAAAATTATTTTCATATCCATAGGGTGTTCGAATTTCAAGATATCGGTTGATGGTGGGTGTTTTTAAATGAGACACCCTGTATATTATTACATTTTTAGATTATCCCTTGAGAGTTGATTTCATCAATGTATTGCACTTGGGGACTAGCTGAAATAGAGATATAGGGTGTTCAAAACCAATATTTTTCTACTTTGTAATTTTTTTGTGTTAAAACTATTTATTATTGGTCGAAACGGCTTACATGTCCCTATTTCAACTTTTGATTCACCATCAACTGACACTTAATTGGAACAGATAGTGGGTGGTTCAAAATTCAAGATTTCTGATCACCATGTATCTATTCCAATTAAATTCCAGTAGATAGTAAATCAAACGTGGAGATAGGGACATATAAGCCGTTTCGACCAATAATGAATAGTTCTGACACAAAAAATCCCAAATCTGGAAACTTTCGATTCTGAACACCCTATATCTCTGTAATCATTTCCGCTAGACCCCAAGTATGAAACATTGATGAAATCAGCTCTTCAGGCAAAATTTAAAAATGCAATAATATACAGTGTCCCATTTAAAAACACCCATCACCAGCCGATATCTTGGAATTCGAACATCCTATAGATATGAAAATAATTTTAGGTGATAGCTCTCATAAAATTCTATAACTGTTGTATTCGAATTATTTTTATATGCCTGACGGTTTGGCTAATATAGAAGGAGAACACACTATTGACCCACCCTGTATATTGGATTATGGTTGTTAGAGTTTAAACAGAATTCATCATAATGGGTGGTTTAGAATTTTATAGTGATTAGTTTGAAGTTTCTATCTAGTACTTCCACCATTAATCATTTCTTAAGTTGCAATATTTTTCAATCATCCTGTATGATAGACTATTCGATAAAAAAGTGTTGTTAAATAAATGTGTGATCCCCTTAATAGATTCGCCACCTTAAGGAACAATATGAGATAGGCTGTGATAGTGATTCATTTCGATTGTATAACGATGACTCGGTGGTAAAATGATAAAATACCTATCCGAGATGTCAGTTATTCTCTGCATTTGAATGAGGTAGGATGCAAGAATTCATAGCTATAAAAACAGTGCCTAAGTGTGAAATACCCGCAGTTTAAACACTAACTAATAGCTAAATGAAAGTGGATGTGAAATATCATTCTCGGACTAATATTCATCGTGATAATTTAATAGTGGTGATGAACTCTCGTGTGTTGATTTCGAATCAAAAAGTGTTACCTTCTTAAAATAAGTGATAGTGACGATTCTGTGGATCCAAAATGAAAACGTTCCATTACTCACTGCAGAAAAATGAATACCTGAAAGACGACTGCTTCTATATGGAAGCTGCACTGTGAAATCTTCAAAAAGGTAAGTCATCTTAATTGTAGAGTATGTTATCTTAACAGCGCCAGTTGTATTCTGATATCAGTATTAAAACCTTCAGTGTAGGCTTGAATAATGTGGATTATTCGATAGGGCATTCAAATTTAGGGATTGGGCACAATACAAGCATATACTTATGCTTAGGTGTAATCCTCGTAATTTGAACGATTTTAATATCAATAATGTACAATATGTAAATTTTGTTGTTTGTTATGGAATTATGAATAAATTGAAAAATTGAAATTGAAATCAATTATTATTATGCTATTTTTCTATGAATGGAACAAAAGTGGAAATAAATCAAAATATTATAGGAGATGAATCTCTTCATTTTTCCGTCGACCTCGTATTAATGACTGAGTTTAATGTATATGAAATCGTTCATTAATGACCCCTATTAATGAACGATTTGTCTATTAATACACGATTGTTTTATAGGCAACCAAACATACACCGCGTGCATTCATTGTTTATGCTACAACTTACGGAATCTGCATTTAAATCGAAAATATGGATTTCATCGAAGATTTTCCGTTAACGGGTTCGCCTTTCCAAGTTTCTGACACGATTTTTATCCCTGTTTTCTAACACAAGGAATTTATTTCCTATGTTGATCATTTCGACAAATGTCAAATGTGTCTAATGTCAGTAACAAGGCTACTGGGTGATTCTTAGCAGTTTCCGGATAAATGATGAATTCGCGAACCAAGTTTTCTTCATTACAGAAGAAATGAGAAGTATAGTCGACGGAAAAATTTTGTAACCAACTTGTATATTAAAAGGCGATTAATACACTAGTTGGTTAAATAACTATTATAGAATCAGTGATTTTTGAATAATTAACTTGAGTTGTCTGATTATATTGATTATAAAATGGCGCAGTCGATAGGATGTTTCTGAATGTTTTGCCACGTGCATAGGAATGGAAGTTTCATCACTTCTAATTACTATATTAGATGACAATTATTTTCCATACATCTCTTGTACTATGTTGAGTATTCTATATCGAAGCGACAGAATTATCTACCTATACCTACTACATTTTGAATGTAATGTAATACATTATGCTTTATTTTTTAATGTTTCCTGTTATAAACATATACGTTAATTGTTTCATGGGAATAATAAAGATGATTATGAAATCATCAAAAAGTTGAAAAGGAACATTCTCAGATATATTTATGAACACAAAAAATGGATATATATATATATATATATATGAAGAAATACATTGAGAATTCGCATTCTCCATGTGATGAAAATATTATTTCTGTCTCGGTTTTTTCAACAGAAGACAACTACTTTCCTGGCTATATGCCACGACGAATATTGAATTACATCTATTGAAGAATTTGGAAACAAAATCGTCTGAAGCAGAGAATTTGCATTCTCCTTCATAATATAAAGATATGCATGTAATATAATTCTGAATATTCAACAGAAAACAACTACTTTCCTGTATGATGAATATCAATTTATCATAAATCCAAAAAAAATCAAGAGGTTATCTATCTATCTATGAAAATAAATTTCATGACATAATACTCACAATAACAAGACTTGTTGTTCGGATCGGGCTGGTAATGATTGGCGGTGTCGCACTTTTCGCACTGGTCCCCGATGATGCCTTTGGTGGTGCAGAAACACTTGCCGGTCTCTCGATGGCATTCGTCCGCCTGCTTGTTGCACTGGCACGGAGCACATTTGCCCCCGTTCACCGGATTGCCCCAGAAGCCCTTCGAGCAAACACGAAATGTTTTCAACTAAGCGATCTTTCAACCCTTTCGCTCACCCTGTCCTTAAATGGGGACAGCCTATTCTTATAGGAAAAACTTCAACGAGGATTACCGACAATTGGACGTGGTCAATTGGACGCACGAACATTGGACGCGGATAATTGGACGCGGCGACAATTGGACGCGACAACAATTGGACGCGGCGACAATTGGACGAGGCGACAATTGGGAAATTTATTGCATGGAATATGCAGGGCTCATATCTATAATATAACAAATACCTAACCTAACCTAACACCTAACCTTCACAATGAATTTCATTGGAATTATAAAATTATTTTTATTTACGCATGCGTCCAATTGTCGCCGCGTCGAATAGTCGCCGCGTCGAATTTTCGCCGCGTCTAATTGTCGCCGCGTCTAATTGTCGCCGCGTCCAATTGTCGCCGCGTCCAATTGTCGCCGCGTCCAATTGACTGCGACCAATAGTCGTGCGTCCAATTTTCCACGTCCAATTGACGCGACACCCTTCAACGATGGGTAGAGCTCATCGAGGTGGTTCTGAATATATACAGTGTGTCCACCTTAAGGACTTAAGGACCACCCCTGTAAAATCGTTATTATCCGACCAATTTCAAAAAATCTTTTTTGTTGGATAGGTATTTGAAATGCCCATCCAACGGGAGAGTGATCTAATTCTTGGACTGTTATCTTGGCCAACTGCGACAAATTTCAATGATCCATATTCCAGAAAGTACTATTAGGGATTTTTTCCACGAAACTTGATGATGGATTCTGAATCAGTACCACTCTAAATATACCTGTACCGATTTTCATCATCATAAAACACAGGGTGTCCGAAAAAACGAATCATCATTTTCTTCAAATAGGTGCCAATCAGCAAAAAATGTAGTTCTATGTTTTTTCTAGAAAAGAATAATCACAAATTATCATTGAGGATCATTTCAAATATACCTGTACCAATTTTCGTCATTTGAATATACAATGTGTCTGAGAAAAAAATTAAAAAGGATAGCTAAGCAATATTTTTCATCCTGATTTAGAATCCATCATTGTTTTTGGTGAAAAAAATCCCTAATAGTACTTTCTCAAATATGGGTCAATAAAGTTGGTCGCAGTTGGCCACGATTACAGTTCATGAGTAAAATCACTCTCTTGTTGGATGGACATTTCAAATACCTGTCCAACAAAAAGAAGTTTTTTGAAATCGGTCAGATAATAACAATTTTACAGGGGTGCTAAGTCCTTAAGGTGGACACACTGTATATATATATATATTTATATATATTCTCAGATATATTATGAATATGGAAGAATGGATGTACATATATGTATGTAAAAAGAAATTCATTGAGAATTCGCATTCTCTTTGTGATGAGTATACCAACTCTTTATCGCTATATTCAACAGAAAACTACTACTTTCCTGGCTATATGCCACGACGAACATTGAATTATATATATTCCACACAGGATAAGAATCTGAAAATAAAATCTTCTGAGGTTGAGAATTTGCAATCTCCTTAAGATACAAATATATATGCACACTAGCTGACCCGGCAAACGTTGTTTTGCCCTAACATTATTTCTAGAAAAAATGTTTTCACATAAATATTTATCAAAGAACTTTCATTATTTTATTTATAATTCTTTTTAGTTCGGCTATCTATGAAATCGGGATTCTTTATAGTTTTTCAAACTATTCTTCTTATTATCTACTTCTTTTTAGTTCGGCACTCTATATCTCCTCATTTTTCCATTTATTCACTACACACTTCTTTTTAGTTTGGCTGATGCTGATACCTGGCACACGTTGTTTTGCTATATACATTTTCTTCCAGAAAATAATTTTTTAGATAAATATTTATCAGCACACTTTTATTATTTTGTTTTGAACTTCTTTTTATTTTGGATATCCATGACATCGTGTTTCATTAGTATCTCAAACTACTATTTCTATCTATTTTCTACTTCTCTTAAGTTCAACAATCTATCTCGTTTTTTAAAGTATACTATCAATTTTCTACTTCTATTCAGTTTGGCCTTGAGTTTGACTATCTATGAAAGCGTGTCTCATTATAGTTTTTCAAACTACTATTTATTACAAAGCTCTTTCACCATATTGGATCTGCCATCTTGAATTTCCCAACTTTTAAGAATAAAATCATAATCTCCGACCCCGAAAACCCCCAGATACAGATTTTAAATAGAATCGGATTATAACTACAAAACTCGTCCGCCATATTGGATCCTCCATCTTTAATTTTTTAATTTTAATGAGAGAATCATAATCTCCGACCCGAAAACCACCTGATACCAATTTTGGAAAGAATCTGACCATAATTGCAAAACTCGTCCGCCATATTGGATCTGCCATTTTGAATTTCCCAATTTTGACAAATAATTCATATCTCCGACGTTTAAAAACTCTCAAATTGTCATCTTTGAAGATGTTTAATTCATGAGCGAAAGGGTTAACGTATTGTCTCTTTGAAAGATGTTACATAGTAAGGTCGTTGAAGAATCGGTTTGGTGGTGATGGTCAATGGAAATTATTCACTCGTCAGTGCTCCGAAGAATACCGAGAGGTCGGCACAATGGGGTTGTACAAACTAGTCGAATTGACGCCACAAACCTATTTCATATCGATCATTTCGTGTATAAATAGCATTTGATGAAATCATGCATTATTTAAAATTATCGCAAATAAATTTTATTCAATAATGAAATTTGGCACCCTCGAAAAGGCCAGCTTCGATGACGTCATGAACCGAACCGATAGACATCATTATCTGAATTCTGGCTTTAGCATAAAAACTAGGATCACATATTTCGACGCTGCCAGATTTGTAACTAGTAATCACCTAATGACCAATAACAAAAGTATTCACATTCACAGAAGACAATATTTCAAGCTGGTCCCTAATAATCACTTATTGAATACTTAATATACTTATCAGATGCTTCAGTACCAATAAAAATATCCTAGTAGTACTAATAATGATCGAGATTTTATTCAAACCCAAATTATTTTGTGACACTGGCAACAGCGTAATGCCTATAGAGTTCCCAGAAATAGAAGAGAAGAAAAAGACGAACTACATTGTCAATCAAACTTCCTAATGTCACCTTCATCTTCAAGTCCTTGTTTCATCTAGTCCTCTAATTATCTGATTATTCAGTTGTCTGTTGCGTTCTTTATTATCTGCAGTAAGTATTCAGTCCTGAAAATTCACTAGAGTCTGGGGCGAATGATCTAGGCTTTTTTCATAATTTGATTGAAATGACAATCAGAAATATTCTTGCACTTTTCTTACAGACAAGGAGAATAGATACGTATGTCGAATTTTTTTAGATGATTACGTCACGCATTTTCTCGCGTTCTTCATATTACGAAATATCGTGAATTTCAATAATTATTTAAAAAATGTCTGAGGAAAAAACGGTTGTCGACAGTGAACTAGTTATGGTTAGTACTTGGAAATAATGAAATGAATTATTTCACTGAAACAGGCCCATTGTAGAAATATATTTTACGTATTCCAAAAGCTGGTGAATTCTCTTCCATGATTTCCAAAAACAAAAAACCGTCTATAATTTCGATAAAAAAAATAAAAACTGGACTAGAATGCAAATGAAATGATAAAAGGATGATAATTACCTTCATACAAAACTCGCAATGATGGCCGGTGGTCAAATTACCGCACGGCATGCAGGTGGAAGTGTTGTCCACGCAGCTGGCATGGCCGTTGCACTGACATTTCGGACACGTGGTGAAATGCCAGCGCTCCGGAGGGCACGTCGAAGAAGGTAGAGATCTGGTGTGCAGGGTGGGACCTGCAAATCATCAACATTTCTTGTGGGTCAGAGAAAATTGAACTGATCATCGGCATCCCCATTTGCTGATGAAATCATTTTGAACAGCAGAGGGTTTTTTTCTTTATTCATCTGAGTGACTAGAAGTTAAACTTCTCTTTATATTCGAATGAAAAACTTTCTACAGTCTGGCTTACTGAACAAGGCCGAGAACATAAGGTAAAGCAGTAAAGCAACAGGACCATCAAACGGACCATAATAGCCATTGATTGATTGATTGATTGTCTTTATTACCCCAAGAAACATTATTGTTAAAGATATTATAATTCATTCCAAATAATCAAATCGTGAATGCTTAGTAGATATGGAATTGAATTTTACTGAGCAGATATTTCTTCAAATTGATTTGAATTTTGTCTGCTTCTCCTATATTTTTCAATTCATTAGGTAAGAAGTTATACAGAGTGGGCCTTTGAAAACGAAACAGAGGCTCTGTAGGTCGCCAAGACCAAATAATCAAAAAAAACTGAAACAGGTCAACTACATTTTCGAGGGGGACATCTTTCTAAAATATTTTCAGCCCTGCGGCGTTGCCGCTTCTAAAGAAAAGAAGCAACAACTTTGTTATTTCAAATGGAACACCTTGAATTTTATTGCATTCTTAGACTCTCTCCGAAGAGCTGAATTCATCAATGCATCACACTTGGGGTCTAGCTGTAATGGTTTCAGGGATATAAAGTGTTCAAAATCGAGATTTTTCAGCTTTGACATTTTTTTGTGTCGAAACTATTCATTATTGGTCGAAACGGCTCTCATGTCCCTATCTCAACTTGAAATTTACTATCTACTGACATTTATTTGAAACAAATACAGGGTGGTTCAAGATTCAGAATTCTGATCACCCTGTATCTGTTCCAATTAAATGTCAGTAGATAGTAAATCACAAGTTGATATAGGGACATGAGAGCCGTTTCGACCAATAATGAATAGTTTCGACACAAAAAAATGTCAAAGTTGAAAAATCTCGATTTTGAACACTTTATATCCCTGAAACCATTACAGCTAGACCCCAAGTGTGATGCATTGATGAAATCAGCTCTTCGGGGAGAATCTAAAAATGCAATAAAATACAAGGTGTTCCATTTGAAATAACAAAGTTGTTGCTTCTTTTCGTTAGCAGCGGCAACGCCGCAGGGCTGAAAATATTGTAGGACGATGTCCCCCTCGAAAATGTAGATGACGTGTTTCAGATTCTTTTCATAATCCGGTTTTGGCGACCTACAGAGCCTCTGTTTCGTTTTCAAAGGCCCACTCTGTATAAAATTATCCCACTATGGAATATTGATTGTTTACCAAAATTTGATTAATAACAATAAATTAAATTGCCTTGTTTCATGGGCGTCAATCGTATCAACTTCATTAAAATTCAAATTTTATTCTTTCAATGCCTTCCTGACAAAATGATTGAAGAAACAAATTTTAGTTTATATAATGAAACTGGATTCAGCAAGTCTTTAGGTTTGCATAGATATACAGTTGATTCTAAAACAGGTACATTGAAAATGCACTTTATTGTTTCATTTTGTAATTTCATGACTGGCTTCAAACGTGAAATATTTATTCTTCCCCAAATAGATGAAAGGTATTGTAAATTTGAATAAATAAGACAGAAATAAATACTCTTTAGGTATCTAACTACAAAGAATACTAGCAATAAGATTCAAAAGATCTATATGTAGAGTCCACGATAATTGTTCATCAATATAAAGTCTTGAAAATTTTGTTACATTTGTATATTCAATATAAAATCAAGTGAGTAGGCGAGGTATAATATTGTATGTTCATTGAAGAAAAAATTACATAAATTATTGTATTAAGAAACTTGTGACCTCTATTCCGAACTAAGTTATTCATTTGTTATCCTAAAACTAGAGATGGTTCAAACTCCTCTCAAAATCCACTTTTCTGTCAAGCTCATAATAAAAAATTCCTACTTACACAAATGTGGAAAGCTTGATGGATAAAAAAGAACCTGTTGATCATTCAATGAGAAAATTCTCCAATTATTGATAGTATTTGAGTAAGAACTGGAAAAGAATGAATGCACATCAAGTACATCAACTTCTTGTAGAAGTGCAAAAGGGAACATCGATCTCAAACAAAAAACAAAGCAACAACTAACTCGAAATTAGACATATCAAAATTGTACTTCGTCTGAGGTGAAGTTTTCAAATTCAAAACCTAAAATTGTCCATTTTGACAAATATTCAGTTGAAACAAATGAGTTATCGATGTTTTTAGTAAACTAGCGCCATTGACAGACAGACAAATTTTGGGCCAGTCAACAGATAATTGTAGACATTTCTCCTTGATGCTAACCCAGGCAGACCAGGTCAACTTTATTATGACGTCACGTTTTCCTTCTGAAGCTGACAACCACATCACCATCTTTGTTACTAACTCCATGCGCCACATTAGGGGCAGCAATGTTAATTGAAACGCAACAGCGAATCGTGCAGGACTAATCCCAGCCGATGCTCCAGAACTTTACGATATTTAATTAGTCAAGTACATGTTAAAGGAGCTTTCTTGTCCAAACTGGGATTCGCGGACGAATCTCCAACATTTTCAATTGTTATTCAACATACTGTTACGTTATTCGGATGCAGAAGCGAACAGGACACTATTTATTTTCGAACTGATTGATTTAAACTAAAGAAACACTAATTTATATTGAACTTATAACTACTATTTATGTAAAACGATTTATATCACGCGGTATATAACTGTCTCTCTGATACTAGCTGCTTAACTGACTGACGCAGTTGTTCGGCCGTCTTATATATAAGATCCATTTGTAGGTTTTGGTTCGAGAACGTTCTCGAATGATCTTCCGCCCCCTTCTTTTTTTGTTATAGACGCTTCTTAGAACAATACCTCTCTCTCTAATTGTTCCATCGATTGTTTCCATAACATTCCAGACTCTTCTGACACGTTATTTGTCACCGCGGCATATATTGAGTGTTCGGAAATATGCGCCCCTCTAAGGGGAATATCATTACAATACTTAAAGTTGAATTAGATGAAATCACTAGTTCTCATGGAAAATAACTATAGGAAAAAAACTGAAAGACCATAATTCCAAAGTACCGGAATCCACTTGAAGATCTCGTCATGTTATCGCCAAGAGTACAGCTCCGACGATAACGTGACAAAGATATCTTCGTGTACTTTGCGGAAACGCTGTCACTGATATAAAAACTTCACATCGATAAGATTTCCTGGTACAATATACCACCAGTATATCACCTGACGAAGCTACTGTGTTAGCGAAACATGTCGTGTGTTTGAGAATTTTGTGGAAATCTTATCGTTTGTGAAGTTTTCACATTTGCCATGGATTTGCATAAAGTAACGGCCGAGTCAATAAAAACAAGCTGTCACTGATGTCTCTGTCTCACCGGCATATCCTCCGGGCATGCAAGTGCCCAATCCGGTCCTGGAACCGTCATCGCACCAACCACAAGCCGGATCGTCGCGGCATTTGGCGCAGGTCTTGTAGAAGCCGCACTGCGAGTTCTCGTCGCTGCCTCTAGTCCGGCATTTCGTGTGTACCGTCGTCCATTCTCTGCATTGGCCGTAGGGGAAACTCGACGTGTACGCGTTCTTGTCCACACACCTGATCAGACACAAAGCGATATAAATTCTGTGAATCGCTCTTGATTTCAATTGCGCCACTATAGAACTCCTTTGACAGTCAGCTTCCTGCATTTTTATAGGTCGCGTGCAAGAACTGTCAGATGACTGACCCTGGAGGCAAAACATATTTGTTTACAAGTGATGGAAATAGTTTTCCACAATTATTTTGGCATATGAATCGTATTTTTCCGCTATTCATCAATTCGCTAATGCCATCACATTGTGCTGTTGTAAAATGCACAAAAACTGCAGCGGAAGATGAAGAAATCCGGATGGTACATTATGATTCAAAAGTAAGTACCTACTATAGTCACTCACATTGTTTTCATTTTTGAAATTTGGTTATTTATCTGATTTCTCATCGGAATTCCTTCTGCAATAAGAGCTAATAGAAATATACCTGAAATTTCTAGAATAATGCAAGAAGATTGGATTCATGCAATCAATCGGTAGGACTGGTCTGACATGCTGACGATCGTGTGTGTTGTAGACATTTTCAATCTATTAGCAGCATTAGCTTGTATTGCAGAAGTGGCAGAAGGCAGAAGGAATTTTAATAAGGAATGACAACATTTCATAATGATAACTATGTGAGATTACTATTTACATGAAAAATCATATTCCCTAGTCTCTTGCTGCATTTCTTGTGCATTGTACAACAGCACAATGCGAAGGCATGCTTGAATTAATGAATAACGCAAGAAACACGATTCGTATGCCAAAATATTGTGAAAAACTATTTCAACCTTTTGATTCCTCTGTAACCAAATAAAAAAGTGAGGTTGTGTTTCAATAATTCACAGAAGAATGAGGTTGTGTTTCAATATTTTGCCTCCAGGGTCGGTCTTCGTGCACGCGACCTATTAGCCAAACTAACCTCACATTTCTTCTTCTCTATCTTCCGTTATTTGTCTTGATTGCAACCTTGCAACAATGATGGAAGTAAGATATGGTGTAATTACTGATATAGTTGAATAATCCCACTGTTACATAATGTGCCGCGTACCTAAAATGCCATTTTATTTTCACTCGTCACAGCAGCAATAGCAGCATCACCATCTAGCGGGAAAATGAAGAATCAACGTCTCGCTCGTTGTGACGTAGAGAAATCATAGTAGGCAGGTCGAGTGATTTTTCTGAAATTTTCAATACGTAATAATGGCCGAATGCGCGCACCATATCTTACCTCCATCATTCTTGCAACATAGGATGACAGAACGTTGTTGAATTTCAACAATGTCATTTGAATTTGCCAACAAACTATATCTATAAGTTATATTCTTTTTACCAACTTTGACTGAGATTAACCAAGATTCTCAGTGCAGCTCAATAGCTCAGTTGTATTACATGTTTAACATTTATCTTAGTCTGATGTGAGTTGTCTTAAGATGAGACTATTTCTTCCCCCTCACCCCAACTGACCTTGTCTTCATCTAGTGTTGTAGTGAGAAAAACGTGAGACTGGATTGATTCTAGTAATTCTGTGGTTCTGTGCTGAAAATATGAGGTTATATTTTCATTTTGACATGCTTTCAGCTTTGAAGTTTCAGTCCACAGGTTAAATACTATGAATACTCACTACAATAATATTTCTATGCTCCTTATTAATTTCCTCAGCCATTTTACATTTTGGTTGAATTATGTTGGGTTATGTTTTCTTCCCCCTTCCTGACAGATAAAAACGTGTTCTTTTCATTCAATCGACAACTCAGATCCGTCTCACCTCCTTCTTACTCAATTGATCTCAGTAGTGAGAATGTAACAAGGTAAAAAGAATATTGATGTACTGCTAATGTCATAAAAAAGAAGTACAACCATGGTACGAATCTTCATTCAACAGTCATCTACCTCCTTTTCAGTTTTATAACTAACCCCACTTCTCTTCTTCATCTTTCTCCATCCGTCGTGATTACAAGGAATGTCGAAAAATGACAGAGATCGTTGTCGAATTTAGTTTCATAATTGATCTTGATACATTATTCAATTCTGTTTTGGAAGGATGGTAAAATGTGCTGCGTAAGGCTGTATGAATCAGCATCATTACTACTCCATTATTTTCAAATCGAAATATTCCGAAAACGGAACATAGTATCGAGTTTCACCAGGAGAACCTTTTTGGTGTAAAATTGAATGATGTTCAAGTTCATATCATATTTGGATTGGAAAATCTGATCTCAAAAAAGTTATGTTCAAAACTACTCGGTACGAACCATGTAACTAGCGCCCTTTATGAGAGTCAGATATAAAAACAAATTCATGCGATGTGTCAGATTTTAAGAAACATCCATACGAAATTTCATTACAATGTTGCCAGTAGTTTCGGAATAATCGTGAAAAATGTGTAAAAAAATAATTTTTTCAACACCTTGTATCATGAAAACTAATGCCGTTACGACATTTTTTCACAGAGCAAACCCAACTTATTTTGCAATGTTCTACCTACCCTAGCAAGGGGGTTAGGTTTTTTTTAAACACCCTGTATATCGACGGCAATGTTAAAATTTCATGTTGTTTAAAATGTTCCCTACAGGTTTGCTTGAAATTTAGATTGAAAATCAATCTGATAATTTTTTTCTGTGCAATAAAAATTCTTTTCACATTTCGTACTTTACCCCACAGAACAATATTATATGATAGATGGGAGTATACAAGTGAATAGTAGACTAGGAGAAGTTGTTTGATATTGAATACAGTCTTGAGTTGTAGTAAAGCATAGTATGCAGTTTATTTTTATACAAACAAAGTCGTTGTTGGAGGACCAACTTACATTACTGTCAAGCATTACACCCAGAAATTTCGTTACAACGGATGGAGGGATATCCTCTCTTTCTACACACACTGGCACAATTAGGGGAACGGGTAAAATTTACACTAAGTTTGACATCAATTCTCTCTCGAACCGATCACTCGAATCAAATTTGTTTTTCACGAATTTTAGCTTCATTCTTCACGAATACATCTGTGAAATAACCACCTCCAAACGATTCGTCTTTATATCATAAACAGGGGTGTAAAGAAAGTACGGATTTTTCGGTATTCTTTAAGACATCCTGTGGAGTGAACCACTGATAATTGAACCGATTTCCCAACACCAAATTATAGCAAAATCTATCCCGAATATTTTCGTTTTTTATTCATCTTGATATCCCAATTATCCAAGAAAATATAGAGTTTCAAAGAAGAGGTGGATATTGGTATTCATTTTACCACCTCGAAACTCGAACTGGGGAGAACGTGTCGTTTTTCAACTTGTTTCTGTGAGGATTTTTACTCCAAGATGAGAATTGTTCACAGTTTTACCTATCGGTTTACTGTTTAAAGACACATATACGAATACTCTCTCTCATGAATATGCAGGGGTGATAAAAGTTGCTCCAATGTTCTTTTGGTAAAATGCTATTTTTGTTAATCAACGTTGGCTATTTTGTTAATGTCATTAATTATTGTCAAAGTCAAGCGATTTTCAGTAATGAAAATTCAACATGAGAGATTTGACTCCTACTGATGTGGCGAGGGCTGTAGCATTAATTGAAAATGACCAGTAGGCCAATGTTCTTTTAACATATGAGAGCCGCATCTGCACCAATTCAATAGATGACAGGGAAATACTATATCGCCGAGGTGAACAAAATGAACAATTTGATTTCACTGCTTCTGTCTCCTATGGTAGAGGTTTAGTCATGGTTTGGTTAGGTTAGTCAAGAAACGGCACATTTTCAGATCCAGTTTGAGTTTTGAGGTGTAAAATTGATACCAATATCCACCTTTCCTTTGAAACTCTGTATTTTCTTGAATAATTGAGATATCAAGATGAATAAAAAACGAAAATATTCGGAATAGATTGGGCTCCAATTTGGTGTTGAGAAATCGTTTCAATTATCAGTGATTCAGTCCACAGGATGTCTAAAAAAATGTCTTTACACCCCTGTATATGATGGAAAGACTCATCTTTTGAAGGTAATTATTTCTCAGATGTATTCGTGAAGAATGAAGCTACATTTCGTGAAGAAAGAAAATTGAATCGAGCAATCGGTTCGAAAGAAAATTGATGTCAAACTGAGTGTAAATTTTGCCCGTTCCCCTAATTGCGCCAGTGTGTGTACTTTCACAGTGGAGTTATTTGTTCCTTGAATATTTGACGAGTATGACGTTGGTGACGACACACAACTTCCCCCGACGTATTGTCTTGTCTCGTATCTCACCTGCCCTCGTTCTGGCACCAGATGCACTCCTCCTGCGTACAGTTCAGACACGAGTTGAACTCTGAGCAGACGCTCTGACACTGGATCGGTTCCGCCGCCTCGACGGTGGCGTTCGTGTGGGCGAGATGCGGCCCGCATTTGGCGTGCTCGAAGCGCCATCTGCAGAACGGCTGCGACGTGCACGCTCTGCACGTGTGCAGCTGCCGGCAGATCGGCGACGAATCTACGAACAATCGGTCGGTGAATGTCGAATATTCCGATAAAGTGCAGTTTTTTCAAGAACGCCGGCAGCGTACTGTCAAAAACAAAATATTACTGTTCGAAAAATAATGTTAATAAAGTATCAACATTATACAGGCTGATTTTAAAATGAGTGCATATATTCAAGACATATATATGAGAGAGTCTAACAAAAATTACTAAAATATTAGATTTTTCCTAAGTCTTCACATTAACGAGAAATTTCATTTTGAAAATTGAACATAAAATGCTTCGAAATTCGAGTACGCCACTGGGAAGCAAGTGAAATCTGCGGAATCCCAGGGATTCTCCAATTCGTCATTCACTAAAGTCAGAACAAGACAGTGATGCCAGATTGTTTCAGAGACGAATATCCTGATAAAAATTTGTCACAGAATGAATATGAATTGAAATAGGTTATGGAAACTAATAGAGGTGAATGTAACTCAGATGAAGAAAGGGACATTCTTCATCTGAGGAATGTAATATGTACAGGAGCCTTATTTTTTAAAGTTCACTGAGAGAACTGTGGGGTGATTATCTCCATGGATCACGAGAGTCGGATAGAAACATGAGGGGAATGATAGAACGTCCCCCTTCCTTCCACAAAGTTGAAAATCGACTCACCTAGTAGATTTTCTCATACCTGCTCGAACAGCAAAACTCCCGAGAGCAAACAAATACTAATATCGAGTCCATTCCAGACTAATATCGTCCTGTGTTCTTGTTGGTTCATATTCGCACTTAAACCATCGAAAACGACTCGACGACGACATATCCTTCCTGGCAATCTCACATTGAAAATCACGACCATATCACGATTATCACGACACAACATCCAATTATTTTATTTTTTATTTTACGTTTACAATTATTTTACAAACACACAAAAAAACTATTATCATATGATCTGTCAACATCATTTCTCAGAACAGTAGTATCTGTGACCATAGATTTCCTCTTTGCTGTGACCTTTGACAGTTCTAAGTAGGATTGTTCGCGTTCAGAGAATAAACAATCCAAAACCGTCAGAAGCATGCACAAGTCCACAGAACCCAAAAATCATACAGTTCTGTGAAACTGCGCATGCTTCTGACAGTTTCGGACGCAAGAATTCAGATGACCATGAATTACTAATAGGCGATTTCTACGGACCAATCAGAAACAGCAAAGTAGCGCCTGCGTGGTTGCGATTCATCCTGATTGGACACAGCTGATTGGATTTGTGAGATTAGTGTATAGTGAGGAGTATCATTTCATTGAATTAAACTAATAGATCTTTTTTCCAAATTAGTTTTTTATGAAAATGTTAGTTTCATTTAAAGATATGATCCTTCCTCACTAATACATTAATCTCAATCACCTGTGCCCAATCAGGATGAATCGCAACCACGCAGGCACTACTTTGCTGTTTCTGATTGGTCCGTAAAAGTCGCCTATTAGTAATTCATGGTCATCTGAATTCTTGCAGTTTGTTGTTCTGAGAATGTATGTTATTTTGGAAAACGTCAAAACGTGATACTAGTAAATGTAAACAGTGTGGTCCTTGTCATTACTTTTGTAATAGATCTATTACTATTGGGTGTTAGCACCAAAATATGATGTTTTGTTACTGTTAGCACCAAAATATGATGTTTTGTTACTAAATAATCTATTTCTGTCTAATTTGTGCGATATGGTTTTACAAGAATGACATTCAGAATGTCAAATGTCAGATTTTTAGGATCTATTACCTTTTGATACAAATCTGTTACCATTTTCCAAGAAAATCTATTACGAAAAAATCAGACCCAGGAACAACACTGAATGTAAAGTTTTGTTTCTGACATTCTGACAATTTGCTTGGAATGTGACGATGCATTTCTCAAACATTGAGCTGAATGATATGGTTCTTATGTCGGGTCGTTATTGTGCGGGGCCCATGAGACTCCTCGAAGACCACGAAATTGTAGCGATGCAAGGAGGTGGAAGGAAGGGTCTAAAGGATTTTTCAGTAAAATAACTTCCAACCGTGAGGTGTTAAGTTATACGCTATTCAAGCTTATGTGTAGAAATCTTGGGTGAGTCCATTTTGAAGTTTTTGTATTATCTTTCTGAAATTCAAGACCAGGGTTAACTTCTTCCCCATGTACATTTTCTCGATTATACATTTTATTTAATATCTCCTAATTTTCATGTAGAGTGGCAACGTCGCTTCGTTCATCACGGTCGACTGCGGATCGCAAACGATAGTTGTGACAGAAGTAGAAATCTGGGCGGAAAAAGGGTATTTTGCCCCAAATCTATTTTGATCCTAATAATATTTTTAATAATGCTATTCGGTAGTATACCTCAAGCTTTCTTAGTGTTTAAAATATATGCACTTATTTTAAAATCAGCCTGTATATTGTAATAACATCTAGTATATATATTTTGTTTTGAGGTTTTTCCTTGACGATAAAAAACTTTGAGAATATAATTAATAAACTATTGTCATAAGAAGATCACCTTCCTTAATATAATTGTGATATTCACTACAAAATGGCGCAGTCGGAGCAAGAATTTATGCAGATAAATTATGGAAATAATTCTGGAAGTGCTGGAGATAATCATTCCAACAAGGATTGCATAAGTATTGGAAAAGATGAATTAGATAAAATGATATCAAATAGGTTGACGCTCATGTATATGTAAATAGAATCATTCAATGGAATCGATGATGAAGATATACATGCTTGGATCAAATCATTTGAATTCATAGCTCAATCTAACCAATGGATATCGGATGCTGAAAAGGTATTTAACCTGCGATTTCATTTGAATGGAGTGGCTTTAAGCTGGTATGAGAGCACATTGGAATGTGGACCTGATAACTTCAATTGGCATGAGTGGAAGCAAAATTTAATTGAAACTTTCGATCAAACCAAAATTCATAAATGGGAAAAAGCACTAAACTTCAGATACAGAAACGGTTCACTCCTAGAATATTTCTATAGGAAATCAAAGTTGATCAGTTGGGCTGATGAATCATTGTCAGAAGAATCCATAGTGGCTATTATTATTTTGGGTTTGCCTGGTTTTGCTAAGAAGCAGTTGGTGAATAAAAAATTCCACAATAAGAAAGAACTTTTACAAGAGCTCAAAACCATGAAGATCTATAGTGAAGAAAAAGTAGAGGAATAGTGGAATAGAAATCAATTCAAGAAAAACACTCACGGAAACGTGAATGAATAAATGAACCAACCTAGTGCAAGCAGACAAAATTATTACTGTATCAATGAACCTGAAGAAATAAAATGCATTGAAAAGTATTTCAGTTATTCAAATTATTTAAATAACTATGAAGATAACGAAAATTTAATATGAATTACAGTAAAAAATAAGCAGATGAGAGTTTTGTTAGACACTGGTTCAGCTATTGACATCATTTGTGAGAACATAGTAAGAGAGCTTGAATTACCCATGTACGAGAAATATGTGCTCATGAGGAGTCTTGCTGGAACAAATAAATGCACGCAAATGTCAAAGATACAATTGAATCTCAACGGAAAGATACATATAATTTGGCCAATAGTTATCAAGGACACCTTCATTAATATAATTGTGATATTCATTACATATAGAAAATCCTTAAAAGTATTGTATCGTCTCATATTTGATACACCAACCAATCAATTGTATGAAAGTCCACAATGAAGTTTTTAAAAACGAATTTGCTTCAGCATGAGGATCTCCGTAATCTCAAAGATACAAAATCCATTGAATTAGGGCAAAGTTGCAAAATGTTTTGATGAATAATCGCAAAACAATGTCCATCTAGTTTTCATAATGTGGCAAATATTTCTCAACAGGAAACCAATCTACCAAGGCCTTATCATAGCAGTTTAAATGAACAAAGGATCGCTCAAGATATGGACATCCTATTAATTCATCTTGATTTGTGAATAAATTTGTGTGAGTTAGTTGTCACCGGTGATAAAATGAACATATAATATGAAAAAATTAATATTTCTCACCGATGGGACACTCTCCGAGTTTGGAAATGGGATTCGGCTCGGTGGCATTGCCGATGACTTTCGAGCACTTCTTGTTTATGTTACAAGAATTGCCGCACCATACGCATCCGCTGGTTGTCTGGACACAACTCAAGCAATCCTCCATTTCTTCGCATTTTTTTGTATTGTGAATTATGGTGGTGGTGGCAGCAGATCGGTTCAACTTGGGACACCTAAGACAACATTACTCCTCTTTGAATTCAAAAAAACCTCTAGATTAATTATCAAAGTGAAATAACTTCATAACAAGAAGTAAAGTTATTTACAAAGATAATGGTGGAGACATGGGGAACAAACTAATTCCTTAGCTAATATCACGCAGAACATTGGAGTTATTTCCTTCCGGAAACAATGCAACGATTCGTGTAAGCAAATAAGCATTGTTTCTTTCTTAAATGGCAATTGTGCTTGAATTGAAATCCTGCAAATCGGTTTCCGGCTATCATCCCTCGTTAGTGCAGTTAATTTTTGCTCTTTGTCTACCATTTAGTTCCATTTATTGAACATTCTGAGTAGCACTCTTTGTTACGTAATTATTCCACTTTGAGACTTTGCGCATCCACTTCCATTTCTTACTAGAGTGGGAATTTCGTTTTGATTTTGTTCTCACTTACTCACACTTATAGGTGTGACATACGAACAGGCGAACAAATTTATTATAAGAGTACATGCTAATATGGTCAACACAATACGTTTCGGGGCGTTAAATAATTGCTTAGTGAAACAAGAAAAATGTGAGATACATAATAACATTCTGAGGCGATCCATCTTACAGTGGAGTGAAGGCAATTGAACATGACAAAATACATACAGTCTACTCCACCAAAACTATTAATTTATTGTAAGCAAACTTACGGCACATGGTTCGAAGCTTTGAAGCTTCATCATCAGCGTTTTTGTTACATAGGAGCACTAAAGTGAGAGAAAAACGAAGAACAATGCACGTTTTTTTTTTTCTGCAACTTCAAGGAAAGTTGCTGTCATTCAATATCGAACACTATACAAGTTGATCAATGCGTTGTGCTCGGTCTTCCTGTAATAATATCTATCAAATATTGTTGCCAAACACTCTGTATATAGAACAATATAAGATTTCATACAATGTGGGTCACGATAGCTCATACAAGAGAAAATCTGTGATATTTGAACTACAAATAAAAATATTTCTGGTCAGTAGTACAAATTGTCACATTTTTTTGAAAAACAAAATTTTATTAGAAAATCTGGAAAGATAAGAGAAAAATTGCGAAACCGTTTCGAGGAATATGTTCCAGAGTTATGAAAATATGCTTGAAAAAAATCTCAAAAATTTTCCATCAAGGTTTGTTTGTCACCCTGTATAACCAGAGGTTACCATGTATTTCCATCAGCGGTCTATTTGTCATATTCCCAATGAATCAATCTTCAGAATAAAGAAAACCGAATCCGAATGAGTGGAATTTTCGCGAAAATATTCAATGTTGAATTTGGAGCAAAAATGTGCTTGATGCGGTTCGATTGATCAGCAGAACGTCGTTGAAAAGTCAAAATCTGCTATGTGGAGTTAATGCAATTTTTCAGTTGACACAAGACATGGTTCTCTTATAACTCTTGAAACATAACATATCTGTTTTTTTGTGACCAATTGAAAGTTCATACAATGAGTGTGTCCATGGTTCGATTTTCAAAACCAAGAAACCCCGGAATCTTCAAATTAAAAAAGTAATCCACTATCGCAGACATAACAGAAGTTGGTCGTTATTTCCACCACATAGCGGATATATTTCAGAATGTTTCTCAAGATTCATGATGCGATTTTCTCATCTAGACATTGAAACCAAAAGTGTGTATCAAAAAACTATAAATAATGATATGATGTATTCCACAAACTAGATTTCGACACGTTTCGAAATGGAACTATTTCTGTGACGAGGAGTCATAAAATTGGTGGCATTGGAAAGATATCCACAGACTTAAGTTTTTGTGGGAAATCAACCTGCAGACATCAACGTGCCTCAGTTTATATTTCCGTCAACCAGATGGAAAAAATATCGCAGAGCTCTCATGCCCGATAGTGTTAGATCACTAGCTTCTCAACATAACATAGTGTTGAAATTATTGGACTGATTCCCATAATTCTGAAAACAGTATGGGATACTAGGGAAACAAGAGTTTGAGAATTTTTTGGTCTGGCTGCTATCATTCGACTTAGGGCTGCATATTGGTGATATGAATTGATTATCTCCAGTGTGGAATGCACACTGTCTGTTTCCATCATCATGTCCCCCTTTCCAGTACACATACTCATTCATACAAAAACATTACTTGAAGTTTTCCAGTTTGTTTCCAACCGTTTTGTAGATATAGTGATCTCCTCATCAAAAAATGTCGAGAAACGATCCCAACTATTCGTGTACTTTAATACATATAGCACTTTTTCAATTTTAACCCGCTCACATATAGCCATCAAATCACTCAAGTGCAAAAACAAAAGCTGCCATGTATGGGCGAAAACCTATGCCTAGCAAAGCTGTTATCAATTCGCTCAATGCTTTCATTGTAGATAATTTCTCTGCATAACTGGGCTGATATAAACATGCTGTTATAGGCAATCCAAAAATCTCGAAACCGAACAAAAATCCACATAGCAGATTTTGACTTATTAACGACGAGAAATTAATTGACTGTACCTGTTTATGTGCGTTTCCTCTTTCCTCAGCACCAATTCCCGAGCAACGTGCTGCACAGACCGACAACTTCCCGACTTCGAGTCCCAAACGCACTTCACGCCCGACTTGCTGTTCAAGCAAGCGCTCTCGCTGCCCAAACCGCAATCCCCCGGTGTGTACCTAGTTCAATCGACGAAGGTCAAAAAAGGTCGAATAATGGTAAAATAGTACATTATACATCAAAGGACAGGAATGCAAGATTTTTTCCAAGGTGCGATTTGTAGCTCGAGGGCGAAGCGAAGCCAGAGATACAAAGCACCGAGGGAAAATAGCATTCTGTCCTGAGGTGTATACCGGGTGATACAGGAGACATGTAACAGCCTGTAGTTTTTTATTTGAAAAGATAAAATATTTAAATTCGCAAGGGTTATATTATCGATAATGGCAGATTGAATTTTGGCCAAATGACCCTGCTTCTCAACTTTTCAATTTTATCAATTATGTGATCTCCACGTGTCATTGTGTCTGAAGATGGCTGTTTGAGCCGAAACTAGTCACAAAAAGTAAAAATAAAAATAGGCCTGGTTTCACTAGCGGTGATATAATCTCAGTTCAGGTAAGCTACGTTTAAGTTAAACCAAGGATTTAATCTTGATTTTTCAACTCTTTTTCATATTTCCAAGGGCACGTTTAGCTAACTGTAGTTAAAGCTTAGAATTGACAAGGCAACAGTGTAGAATGGCCATGGATGACTAGAAATTTAGCGTTCTGTGTGTGCTCTGACGACATATTATAAAAACCTCTCAAGTTGAGGTTTTTCACTATAGTGGAAGAATGGAAGGACAAAACAAAATGAGGAAAAAGATTTCCATTGAGAAAAACGAGAGAAAAAAAGAAAGAGACCAATTTCAGTATGGGCGTGTACACCTTAGTAGAACTTTCAACTCAAACCATGTTTATAATGATCCGTTTATACATAAATAACGATTGGCGACATAATTCCATCTAAAAATTAACTGGCATGTTTTATTTTTGGACATAAATAATAGTACCTTCTGAAAACGGACCCTCTTTATGACGTAGAAACCTCATCTCGCCTGGAACCAATGAGCGTGACCCATAGAGTGACCCATGTGTGACACTTACCACTGTTGCCATATCATCTAAACAAAATATCCGAGAGATCGAAATCGATATTGAAATATCTTTTGATATCAACTACCACTACTGCGGAAAAATATATTAAACTTGTCGATGGTAGGTTGAATCATTAGAATATAAACAATCTCTAAACAACGAAATGCCTCAATCTCAAAACCATTTGCACCATGACAATTTCACAATAATCCAATATATTTCATGACCGCAGCAACATTGCTTTGTTGACCCGTTTCACATTGAGCTGCATTTGCATCGAGTCTCGAATTCCGATTCCGAAGTTATTTATGTCGTCTAAAATGAGAAGAGAAGACACGTAATGAAATTAACCTCCAAATCTTGCTTTATTATCATATTAGTACATATTATTGATATATTGAATATAAACATGAACGTTGAATCAGGATTTGTGAAAGGCTCATCAGATAATCTACCGAAAATTGATTTGGAAATGGTTAATTATTTTTATGTCTCTAACATACTAGAAAATCTCCACAGTTCCTCAGTGCTGAAATGAGGAATAGAAAATCTGAAAGGTAAGTTCCACAATATTCATTCAATTTTCATTGCTTGTACCTTTTATAGTTGCATTGGAAAATTGTTCACCTGAAAGGATATTTAACATCAGAATACCCATCATATGGAGATTCCAAGGGAGAATCCTCATTAAATCAGTCACTGATCGATATGTTTACCTATGCAACAATATGATCAATTGGTATGAAACAATGTTATTCCCAAGACTAGATACTGCTTGCATCTCCCCCTGAATGTTCTTCTAGGAGATGGATCATTCATTCTTCAAGCAATTTCCCTATGAATTTCTGCAAAGCAAAACTACTACTATAATATTGTGTTTACCCAATGAGGAACGAGATTTCTTCTCAAAATTCCCAGCTAAATGATGTTTTTTTAATTGCAATTAGGCACAGAACAGTTGCAGAAACTTAATATAGGTTAGAATTGATCTTCTTCTTGTTCTTATCATCTATGTCCCAAAAATCAACTTGCCGATTCACCAATCTTGGTGCTTTGTGAGAAATCATGTATCATTCATCTCTGTCTGGAATAGTCTTGTTTCAGTATTAGGGTTTTGACGTCACATCATCGCCTCGTTTTCAGAGGTCCGGAAAACCGGGGATTTCAATAATTTTTTATAAAACGTAGGGAGCTCACAGCAAGAAACGGTTTGCGGTGGTGAGCTAGTTTGGGTGAGTTCTATCGAATTATGAAATAAAAATTTTTTTTGATATAAGCCCATTGCTGAAAAAACTCATTTCGTGGACATGGTCGAGGCTCGATTCAACATTATTGAAAAATAAAAACAAGCCAACCGAATAAGTAATATCTCTCTCGTATCCAACGGGGACGCCGCACCAAAAATTGATAATCTTCGGAAGCAAGATCATAATATGACCGATATAGAGTTGCCATTATCTAATATCTATATTGGAAGAAATCTCATAATCTCAAAACCATAATAACCATACCATAATCATGCAATCCGTGAAATGCATAACCTTGCTTTTCATTATACATGACAGATAACGCGCGATTATTTCCGTAACTGGTGAGAAAGTACAAGTTAAGAAATAAACTAGAATAATCGAGTTAACCGGTGATTCTGGTATGGTGAAACGATTTGAATTCTTCATGGCAATTAAATTCGTCAGTTAACTCCAAAACGGAGATTAAATCCGTTGGTGAAACTGGGCCTTAATGTTTTGTTTTTTTCTTCGTTTACTTAACTAACCTCAGCATATCGGACAACATTTGGCCGTCGAAGCCTCCGTAGATGTACAAACTGCCCTCGAAAACTGCCGCCGAATGGCCGTACCGGGCCAGATCTGCGTACAAGTCGATGGGCACGGCCATGGTGCTCCACGTGTCGCACAGCACGTCGTAGGCGAGCAACTCGTTGCTGTAGCACTTGGCGCCGAAGCTGTGCGACGTGTCGTTGTGCGTGTTGCCGCCGAACACCAGCATCAGGCCTTCGGAGACGAAGGTCGACGTATGCAGAAACCTAAAAGAAGTACTCGTTTTACTTGATTTTTTGGGATTTTCTCTCCTCGTTTTAGTCCAATAAATGAAGGAGGAAAAAAAGGCAAAGTTAGCGTTAATTACGCACTATTTTCATCCGGTTGGAAGTAGCTTTTGGTAACTCATTAAACATGAGACAAAGTTTGACTGGAAAACGCGTGCGATGGCGGAGAAAATGGCCCCAAAAGACCAGTGTCGCAACTCAGATGGTTTTGGTAGATTATTTGGCAAACGGCGTGTCCACCACATGTAGCAACTCAGATGTTGCCCTCCTATGGATCGCAACTTGGCTACTCGCTTGGCTTGATGAGAGGATTTTGATCATTTTTCCACCCAACCATATTCATCCCCAAATGAAGAGTCAAGATAGTTTTCGTATAAAATTAACATTTATTGATTTAATGGGAAAGTCGTGAATAAATGCTTTCCACATGGCAAAGTAGCAGAGACAAACCATAGTAAATTACCAAACGGCACACAACACAAAACAACCATTCAGAACATGGAAAAAACAGTACTTACATGATGGGGTTGACCAGCAGGATCAAAGTCGGGAAGACGGTACACATTTTGGCAGCAACTCGTGAATAAGTAACTCAATTACGGAATAAAGTAAAGTGTTATCGAAATGCATTATAATAGTTATGAATTAGTTATCAGTAATCAGTAATCAGTAATGAAAAATCAATAATAATGAATAATCAGTAATGCGAGATGGGTGATCAATAATAATCAAAAATCAGTAATGAATTCAGTAATGAATGGCTTATCGATTCGGAATCTATTTATATTTGGAATAGATGTTAACATTGCAATTTTCCGCAATGGCAATGCTCGATACCGGGCGTATAGCTTAGCCCGCATCGCAAGCTAAGCGGTTTCATGCAAATTTTACCGGAACTAGAGTCTATGAACTCCACTTTGACCTGATCGAAACGTTGTACTAGATGTTTTAATTTGGAAAAGTTAATTTATGAATAAAGATCTGGAAATGAACGAAAGTTATTTCATAGACATTTGTACGTCTTGACAATAGGTTTTCAGCCAATATCTCCTAAAATATGGCAGTTAGAGATTTTCGGTTCAGATAAAAATTGATGACCCTCATAATTTTTCTCGAAAATTTGCCTGGTTTCGAGAAAAACGGCACGAAGCGCACCTCGAATAATGAGCTTCTGTGTTGTATGCCGGAGAGCACAGTCCGTGTATTTACACATCGGCGGGGGGACAAATTATTCAATAACTTTGTTAAAAATGCATATTTTCTCATGATTCAAAGTTCATGTGAAAGAGGAATTCTGCTGCTATCATACCCTGCGTGGCCGCATGGTTTGTAGCAGACGACCCGAGCGCCACGTAGAGCACACACGCGGCGAACGACGAAGGAACGAAAGTAATAAATTATAGCGTGTACATTTAGATATACTGGTTTTTTCCCGGGATATCAAAGGTATGACTTATATACATCGATGGAAAGGTGGGAATTCCCCCGTTACACTAGTTAAGGTGTTAAAATGTTAGAAATAAAGAGCACGGAGAAAAAAACCACCGAAAAAAAAGGGCGTTTTTTCCTTGACCCCGCTTTTTCTAATTTTATTGGAAAATGGACGACTTCGTCTAAAAAAGTAATTGCACAATCGAAAAGTAGACCTTCTTAGCTCTCAAATGATGTATCATAGAAACCAATCGGATCATGTATAAATTTTTAATTGATGGTTGTTCACAAAATTTCCCCGCGCTCCAAAAACAGCAAAAAATTGGGAATCAATAAACAAAGATTAAATGAAAATTAAAAAAATTAGGGTATACAAATTTCATGGACGACAAAGGAACTTATGAGGACCCATAATCAAGAGTATTTTGAGTAAATTAGTGCAATACAAAAAAAATAGGAACAAATTCCCAGGCGAGGTCAAAATTGACCGGGAGCAGAGAGTTTGACCCATGTTCCGATATGGCCAAAAGAGTCAAGCGTGACTCAATTTACAGGGTATGATAGCAGCAGAATTCCTCTTTCACATGAACTTTGAATCATGAGAAAATATGCATTTTTAACAAAGTTATTGAATAATTTGTCCCCCCGCCGATGTGTAAATACACGGACTGTGCTCTCCGGCATACAACACAGAAGCTCATTATTCGAGGTGCGCTTCGTGCCGTTTTTCTCGAAACCGGCAAATTTTCGAGAAAAATGATAAGGACCATTTTTGTAGAAAATTAACTGAACTTCAATTTTATCTGAACCGAAAATCTCTAACTGCCATATTTTAGGAGATATTGGCTGAAAACCTATTTTTCTGGTCTTTTGGGGCCATTTTCTCCGCCATCGCACGCGTTTTCCAGTCAAACTTTGTCTCAAGTTTAATGAGGTACCAAAAGCTACTTCCAACCGGAAGATGAAAATAGTGCGTAATTAATGTTAACTTTTTCCCTTTATTTATTGGACTATTTCTATAAAATAAAAATATTCGTATTATTTCAATATACAGTTCTCAACACACTAAATGGACCACTCATAATTTGACTCTATTTCGACTGTATTTCTTGAAAAAATTGACCGATCTTCATGCGGTTTCCGACATCAGATGTGATATTTCATCGGCTTCAAAGAGAGCTAGAAAACTCTGAAAAACTCCGCAGAAGAAAGCTTACACAGGGTGTAAAGTGGAACCATTACACTATGGTCTACATTCCCAATGCTGCCAGAACTCGAGAAATTTTTTTCTGATCAAAAATCAGTCATATTATGATACACTGGGACCTCATCTCGGGATGTTTTCGTGATTTCTCCTCAATTGGCCATTGGAACAAAAATTCGATCTTTTTTCGAAAGTCTTGCATTTCTTGATTTTTTTCTCTGGAACTCCACTTGAGCTGACTATTGGTAAGAACTGTTCTCATGTTTTATGGAGGACAATAAAAGACAAAAAAAGCAATACTGTGGAATATACAGGATGATGAGAAAATAGGACAAAATGTCATTTGAGTAAAAAAAATCAAAAATGGTGAGTAAAACCATGGCCCATTCGATTTAGTATATCCATAAACGGCCTTCTCGATATCCATTATTTATATTAGACTATTGACTCGATACGTTTTCGAAAAATCGCCTCTAATTGAAATACAGGATGAAAATTTGCAATTCAAACTTGTTTCCTGATATCGATGATTCTTATCAAATGATTTCCAACATTTATTGCCCAAGTATGAGACACAGAGTATTGTTGTTCAATATACTGAGTGTTTCACAACTTATCTGACAAATTTCAATCACAACTACAATATTACATAAGAAGTCGATAACATAATAATTTTATAGAAGTAAAACGAGATGGAAAATGAAATTTATAACAGTATTGGCGAAATATGACATCAGTGAATTCTTCAGCATTATGAAGATCCAACTAAAAAGTTCTATATCCTAAATTTCAGTACTTAGTAGGGCCTCCCTGATTTAACAAAACCTCATGAAATCAGTTTGGCATAGGTTCTATGAGGTTGTTGATGCAGTCTCTTGATATTGCCTTCCATTCTTCTGATATAGCTTGGATAAGGTTGTCATTATTTTGAGACGCCTCTCACTTTCCCGATAGGTTAAGTTTCATTCGACTCCACACATGTTCAATCGGATTCAGATCTGAAGATAATGCTGGCCGCCACATCCTCTCATAGTCCTCCACAACACATGAGAACAGTTTTTCCCAATATTCAGCTCAAGTGGAGTTCTAGAGAAAAAAATTAGACTTTCGAAAAAAAAAATCTAATTTTTGTTCCAATAGCCAATTGAGGAGAAATCACGAAAACGCCCCGAGATGAGGTCCCAGTGTATTATAATATGACTGAATTTTGATCAAAAAAAAATTTCTCGAGTTCTGGCAGCATTGGAAATGTAGACCATAGTGTAATGGTTCCACTTTACACCCTGTGTAAGTTTTGTTCTGTGGACTTTTTCAGAGTGTTCTAGCTCTCTTTGAAGCCGATGAAATATCACATCTGATTTGGAAAACCGCATGAAGATCGGTAAATTTTTACAAAAAATACAGGTCTTCGAAAAAGAGTCAAATTATGAGTGGTCCATTTAATGTGTTGAGAACTGTAAATACAAAAAGTTAAAGTCATTTCCACACAATGTTCATAAATGGAACAACAATGGTAGATTTCGGGAGATTCATGACAGTCTATTGAAAAGAAAAAAAACGAACCTGGCAGAAGGAGCGTCAGCGAGCAGAGTCCAAATCCGCTCGTTGGGCTCGTACGAGTACAGATTCCTGCTCAAGTACTGCGACGACTCGCTTTCAGACACCACCCCGCCGTACACGTATATCTTGGCTGTGAGAGGATCCCAGCTGGCCGTGTGCCCGTACCCGCCCTTCACTGGATAGCCCTTCGTGTTGATGATGTACCACTCCCGCGTGCCGAAGTAGTACTCTTGGACGGCGTTCAGGTAGCCCAAGTGGGGCGAGTGGCCGAATATCACGATCATCCTGTAAGTTAAATCGCTCCTATCGAATTTGTTCATTGGGAAATTGCATAGGTTACTTTTTTTCATGTTCTGGTTCCCACGAAAAGGGATATCCTGTAATGTTCAGAGAACATCGTGAGAACCAAGGGAAATGAGGTGTTCTTCTTGAATTTCTGGAGGTTATATGCCTCGGGGAACACCTTCCTTGGCAATGTGTTCCAGAGCCTCACTGTTCGTTGAATGAACGAGTCTTTGGAAAGAGATGTTCTGCAGGTCTCCAAAGTGACCACGAAGGGGTGCGAAGCCTCAACTCGACGGGATAATCTCGCGGGGACTGCCAAGGGAGGTACAATTGTTGATATTTCAGAAGAGCATCGTCCATGAAAATATCTATAAAATAGAGCCAGATCGCCAACGTTTCTATGGTGTTCCAGAGAAGTGAGTGAGTTGTGAGCGAGGCATCACCCACGAGACGAATTGCCCTTTTTTGGACAGAATCCAACAGTTTCAGGGTATGTTTGGGTGTTGTAGTCCAAATATGGAAACGGTATTCCAGGACAGGTCGGATCTGTGTCTTATAGATCATAAGCAGCTGACTGGAAGTGAAATAACTCCTGGCCCGAAACAGACAACCCAGTTTTTGGGATGCACTTTTAGCAATTGATCTCACGTGATTTTCCCAAGAAAGGTCATTGCTGATAGTAATACCAAGCATCGAAATGGATATCTTCATAGGTATGGTTACTTCTGACAAGCTCATGTTGGGCACAGTGAGATCGGCTTTTCAAGAGAGAAGGCATGCTTGTATTTTGTTTGCATTGAAATCTACCAATTGATTGGATCCTCATTCGAGAATTGTTGCCAAGTCTATATTTATGTTGTCAACATTTGTCCCTCGTTTCTGATTCGCCTGGCTGGTATTGGAGCCCTGGAAGAGGAGGCGGTATGGAGGGTACTATCATCCGCGAAGCTGTGTACTGGACATGAAGTTGCTTCCAACAAATCGTTGATATGGAGTAGAAATAGTGTTGGTGCTAGAATTGATCCTTGCGGAACACCAGCATTTATGGTAAGAGAGTCAGAAGAAACTCCGCCTGTATGATTCGCATTATTTCATACCGTTTTGATTATCATAGTCAAGGCTGCAAATTTCGACCGTCATCTGATAACGAAATGATATACAGTGCTTTTCTTCTTCGCCTATTGAGAGTTAGGTATGAACAGTGGTTTTATACCAATTCTCTTCCAAATTTCATTGGAAAACTATTATTCAGTTGTTTCTTCAATGGATGTGTTCTTAGAAATTCACACCCAATTAAAATATTATATAAGGAGCAATTGGTGAATTATGATACTAACTCAGGTTTTATTTTTTCAGGATATTTCAGGAACAATGGAAAATATTAAATTTCACATAATCTTGAAACTTTGAAACACACTTTGGAGAGAAGGGTATGAACTTAGGGGTTGTAGAGGTAGGTATAAATAGAAGAAACATAAAACTAATTCATATTTTTTCAGGATTTGTCAGGAATAATGTCAAAACTCACAGATTTCTCAGAATTTTGAAACCCGTTTTGCAAAATTTACTGATATATTTATGGTACTCCTCACTTTGAAATCCTACATGTGTGACCGCCTGCCCAGCTGAATGATGAAATTCGAAAATCTTCAAGATAAGTGTTCATAGTCATCTAATTATGTATTCTTCAAATACATATCACAGTTCGATTCATCTTCGAACACAGTCTGTTCAAAAAACAACTTTTTTCGATTTTTTCAATATTAAATGGAACAGTCGAGAGATTCACAGACTGTAAGTGTATGGAATCACGCCAGGTACCCTTACGAGGGGAGTGTATCAACTTTGGCGTTCGTAATTCCTCTCTACAAAGGAGGGTGTCGCCTATAAACTATTATACAGTTGTTTTTTCAAAGGATGTGTTCTTAGAAATTCACATCCAATTAAAATATTATATAAGGAGCAATTGGTGAATTATAATACTAACTCAGGTTTTATTTTTTCAGGATATTTCAGGAACAATGGAAAATATTAAATTTCACATAATCTTGAAACTTTGAAACACACTTTGGAGAGAAGGGTATGAACTTAGGGGTTGTAGAGGTAGGTATAAATAGAAGAAACATAAAACTAATTCATATTTTTTCAGGATTTGTCAGGAATAATGTCAAAACTCACAGATTTCTCAGAATTTTGAAACCCGTTTTGCAAAATTTACTGATATATTTATGGTACTCCTCACTTTGGAATCCTACATCTGTGACCGCCTGCCCAGCTGAATGATGAAATTCGAAAATCTTCAAGATAAGTTTTCATAGTCATCTAATTATGTATTCTTCAAATACATATCACAGTTCGATTCATCTTCGAACACAGTCTGTTCAAAAAACAACTTTTTTCGATTTTTTTAATATTAAATGGAACAGTCGAGAGATTAACAGACTGTGAGTGTATGGAATCACGCCAGGTACCCTTACGAGGGGAGTGTATCAACTTTGGCGTTCGTAATTCCTCTCTACAAAGGAGGGTGTCGCCTATTAAGAGTTAGGTATAAACAGTGGTTTTATACCAATTCTTTTCAAAATTTCATTAGAAAACTATATTTTTCAATGGATGTGTTCTCAGAAATTCACACCCAATTAAAATATTATATAAGGAGCAATTGGTGAATTATAATACTAACTCAAGTTTTATTTCTTCAGGATATTTCAGGAACAATGGAGAATATTAAATTTCACATAATCTTGAAACTTTGAAACACACTTTGGAGAGAAGGGTATGAACTCAGGGGTTGTAGAGGTAGGTATAAATAGAAGAAACATAAAACTAATTCATATTTTTTCAGGATTTGTCAGGAATAATGTCAAAACTCACAGATTTCTCAGAATTTTGAAACCCGTTCTGCAAAATTTACTGATATATTTATGGTACTCCTCACTTTGGAATCCTACATCTGTGACCGCCTGCCCAGCTGAATGATGAAATTCGAAAATCTTCAAGATAAGTTTTCATAGTCATCTAATTATGTATTCTTCAAATACATATCACAGTTCGATTCATCTTCGAACACAGTCTGTTCAAAAAACAACTTTTTTCGATTTTTTCAATATTAAATGGAACAGTCGAGAGATTCACAGACTGTAAGTGTATGGAATCACGCCAGGTACCCTTACGAGGGGAGTGTATCAACTTTGGCGTTCGTAATTCCTCTCTACAAAGGAGGGTGTCGCCTATTAAGAGTTAGGTATAAACAGTGGTTTTATACCAATTCTTTTCAAAATTTCATTAGAAAACTATTATACAGTTGTTTTTTCAAAGGATGTGTTCTTAGAAATGCACATCCAATTAAAATAGCATATAAGGAGCAATTGGTGAATTATAATACTAACTCAGGTTTTATTTTTTCAGGATATTTCCGGAACAATGGAAAATATTATATTTCACATAATCTTGAAACTTTGAAACACACTTTGGAAAGAAGGGTATGAACTTAAGGGTTGTAGAGGTAGGTATAAATAGAAGAAACATAAAACTAATTCATATTTTTTCAGGATTTGTCAGGAATAATGTCAAAACTCACAGATTTCTCAGAATTTTGAAACCCGTTTTGCAAAATTTACTGATATATTTATGGTACTCCTCACTTTGGAATCCTACATCTGTGACCGCCTGCCCAGCTGAATGATGAAATTCGAAAATCTTCAAGATAAGTTTTCATAGTCATCTAATTATGTATTCTTCAAATACATATCGCAGTTCGATTCATCTTCGAACACAGTCTGTTCAAAAAACAACTTTTTTCGATTTTTTCAATATTAAATGGAACAGTCGAGAGATTCACAGACTGTAAGTGTATGGAATCACGCCAGGTACCCTTACGAGGGGAGTGTATCAACTTTGGCGTTCGTAATTCCTCTCTACAAAGGAGGGTGTCGCCTATTAAGAGTTAGGTATAAACAGTGGTTTTATACCAATTCTTTTCAAAATTTCATTAGAAAACTATTATACAGTTGTTTTTTCAAAGGATGTGTTCTTAGAAATTCACATCCAATTGAAATATTATATAAGGAGCAATTGGTGAATTACAATACTAACTCAGGTTTTATTTTTTCAGGATATTTCCGGAACAATGGAAAATATTAAATTTCACATAATCTTGAAACTTTGAAACACACTTTCGAGAGAAGGGTATGAACTTAAGGGTTGTAGAGGTAGGTATAAATAGAAGAAACATAAAACTAATTCATATTTTTTCAGGATTTGTCAGGAATAATGTCAAAACTCACAGATTTCTCAGAATTTTGAAAGCCGTTTTGCAAAATTTACTGATATATTTATGGTACTCCTCACTTTGGAATCCTACATCTGTGACCGCCTGCCCAGCTGAATGATGAAATTCGAAAATCTTCAAGATAAGTTTTCATAGTCATCTAATTATGTATTCTTCAAATACATATCGCAGTTCGATTCATCTTCGAACACAGTCTGTTCAAAAAACAACTTTTTTCGATTTTTTCAATATTAAATGGAACAGTCGAGAGATTCACAGACTGTAAGTGTATGGAATCACGCCAGGTACCCTTACGAGGGGAGTGTATCAACTTTGGCGTTCGTAATTCCTCTCTACAAAGGAGGGTGTCGCCTATTAAGAGTTAGGTATAAACAGTGGTTTTATACCAATTCTTTTCAAAATTTCATTAGAAAACTATTATACAGTTGTTTTTTCAAAGGATGTGTTCTTAGAAATTCACATCCAATTGAAATATTATATAAGGAGCAATTGGTGAATTACAATACTAACTCAGGTTTTATTTTTTCAGGATATTTCCGGAACAATGGAAAATATTAAATTTCACATAATCTTGAAACTTTGAAACACACTTTCGAGAGAAGGGTATGAACTTAAGGGTTGTAGAGGTAGGTATAAATAGAAGAAACATAAAACTAATTCATATTTTTTCAGGATTTGTCAGGAATAATGTCAAAACTCACAGATTTCTCAGAATTTTGAAAGCCGTTTTGCAAAATTTACTGATATATTTATGGTACTCCTCACTTTGGAATCCTACATCTGTGACCGCCTGCCCAGCTGAATGATGAAATTCGAAAATCTTCAAGATAAGTTTTCATAGTCATCTAATTATGTATTCTTCAAATACATATCGCAGTTCGATTCATCTTCGAACACAGTCTGTTCAAAAAACAACTTTTTTCGATTTTTTCAATATTAAATGGAACAGTCGAGAGATTCACAGACTGTAAGTGTATGGAATCACGCCAGGTACCCTTACGAGGGGAGTGTATCAACTTTGGCGTTCGTAATTCCTCTCTACAAAGGAGGGTGTCGCCTATTAAGAGTTAGGTATAAACAGTGGTTTTATAACAATTCTTTTCAAAATTTCATTAGAAAACTATTATACAGTTGTTTTTTCAAAGGATGTGTTCTTAGAAATTCACATCCAATTAAAATATTATATAAGGAGCAATTGGTGAATTATAATACTAACTCAGGTTTTATTTTTTCAGGATATTTCCGGAACAATGGAAAATATTAAATTTCACATAATCTTGAAACTTTGAAACACACTTTGGAGAGAAGGGTATGAAATTAGGGGTTGTAGAGGTAGGTATAAATAAAAGAAACATAAAACTAATTCATATTTTTTCAGGATTTGTCAGGAATAATGTCAAAACTCACAGATTTCTCAGAATTTTGAAACCCGTTCTGCAAAATTTACTGATATATTTATGGTACTCCTCACTTTGGAATCCTACATCTGTGACCGCCTGCCCAGCTGAATGATGAAATTCGAAAATCTTCAAGATAAGTTTTCATAGTCATCTAATTATGTATTCTTCAAATACATATCACAGTTCGATTCATCTTCGAACACTGTCTGTTCAAAAAACAACTTTTTTCGATTTTTTTAATATTAAATGGAACAGTCGAGAGATTAACAGACTGTAAGTGTATGGAATCACGCCAGGTACCCTTACGAGGGGAGTGTATCAACTTTGGCGTTCGTAATTCCTCTCTACAAAGGAGGGTGTCGCCTATTAAGAGTTAGGTATAAACAGTGGTTTTATACCAATTCTTTTCAAAATTTCATTAGAAAACTATTATACAGTTGTTTTTTCAACGGATGTGTTCTTAGAAATTCACACCCAATTAAAATATTATATAAGGAGCAATTGGTGAATTATAATACTAACTCAGGTTTTATTTTTTCAGGATATTTCAGGAACAATGGAAAATATTAAATGTCACATAATCTTGTATGGAAATTTCGAAACATTGGAGAGAAGGGTATTAACTTGGGGGTTTCTAGAGGAAGGTACGAATAAACAGAAGAAACATGACACTAACTCATATTTTTTCAGGATTTGCCAGGAATGATGTCAAATATCACAGATTTCTCAGAATGACCTGTGTGCAAAAATTACTGATATAGTTGAGGGACACTCCACTTTGTTATTCTAGATCTGTGACCGTCTGCCCAGATAGATGATGAAATTTGAGGATCTTCAAGATGAGTAGTCATAATATCACATTTTTATTCTTCAAATACAGATCACAGTTCTATTCTTTTTCGAACATTCCTTTGTTCAAAAAGCAGCTTTTTTCAATTTATTGAATATTAAATGGAACAGTTAAGAGATTAACAGACTGTAAGTGTATGGAATCACGCCAGGGCTGTGAATATATCAATTATTTTCCAAATTTCATGAGAAAACTATTGTACACTTATTTTTTCAATGAATATGTGTTCTTAGAAGTGAACACCAAATTATATGATAAATGGAGCAATTGGAAAATTAAAATACTGACTATAAACAGAAAAAAAAAAACAGAATACTAAATCATATTTTTTTCAAGATTTCTCCAGGAATAACGTTATTATTCCCTGTTAATTTACCATAATTCGAGTTTTTGTATTTGTTCCTAATAAGCTCTATTAGCCTTCAGAACCATCCACCAAAACCTGGAGAAATTTTCATAGATCCCCAGCTTTAGTAGCGCTGACCGATTAGCCCTCACTGATGATCCAAGAACCTGAAGTGTATCCGAAATCAATCGCAGAATCTCCCGCACTGCGCGGGTTGGCGGGTTTGAAGTTCCCTTTGAAGTAAGTGCAGGTGCGCTACGATGCGCTGCAATTGTTTCTGGATAAACTTTACCTGTCGACTTTCTTGTTGATGTTATTGATGACGACGGTGGCCGTATGCCCCACGGACTTCAGAGGACCGCACATGAGGAAGCTGCCGTTGCAGCTGTCCGCCTTTACGGTTACGTTCTCCCAAGTCTTGGCGTTGATGTCGAAGGCCCACAACTCGGAGGTGGGGCCTCGGTTGCCCAACACGCCGCCATACAAGAAGATCTTGTCGCCGTAGATGACGGTGGAATGGCCGTAGCGCGGCGATGGGCTGTCTTGGTAGTGATGGGTCTCCCATATGTTGCCTGCGATGGAATTATTCAAGGCTGTATTCGAGATTAACACACCGTCCTTTTGAAAGGACGATGAAGACATGTAGTTCCACTCGATAACTACTAGAATATTGCTCAATATTTGAGTATATTTTGTCTGCGTGGATGACGGTGAAATGGCCGTAGCGAGGCGATGGGCTGTCTTAGTAGTGAAGGGTCTTCCATATGTTGCCCGCGATGGAATTATTCAAGGCTGTATTCGAGATCAACACACCGTCCTTTCAAAAGGACGATGAAGTCATGTGGTTCCACTCAATAACTACTAGAATATGGATGAATATTTGAGTGGAATAAGTTTACAGAAACAAATCTAGTTCGTTGAAAAAGGAATAGTTCAACAGAATGGTGTTCTATTAGGGAAATAACCATAACTTTGGTGGAATGGCCGTAGCTCGGCGATGGAATGTCTTGGTAGCGATGGGTCTCCCATATGTTGCCTGCGATGGAATTATTCAAGGCTGTATTCGAGATTAACACACCGTCCTTTTGAAAGGACGATGAAGACATGTTCCACTCAATAATTACTAGAATATTGCTCAATATTTGAGTATATTTTGTCTGCGTGGATGACGGTGAAATGGCCGTAGCGAGGCGATGGACTGTCTTTTGTAGTGAAGGGTCTTCCATATGTTACGATGGAATTATTCAATCAAGGCTGATTCGAGATTATCCTACCATACTTTTGGAAGGCGGTAAAAATATTTCTGCCACTAGAATATGGATGGTGATACTTTGAACCTCTGCCATTTGCAATAAGTTACTTCAGGTGAGTATTAACTTGTTTTATTAGCAGGAATGATTGCTTGATTCTCATATTTGAGTAAAATAAGTTTCCAGAAACATATCTAGTTTGGTGAATACTGAATAGTTCGATAAAATGGTGTCCTTTTGATAGGAAGGTAGGTTTATCCCTAACTTCAACTTCAATTTGTACTTTTTCCAGATTTTGAAAGTGATTACTCTCAAATATCTTAAATGTAAGATCAGCTGATAACTTGAAATTTCAAATGAGTACGCATTATTCCATATAGTATATTTGAAATTTGAAGCTTTTATACAAACTCAACATAATAATACCCTGTTAAATAAAGAATAACAATATACCATTCACTCCCAATACATTTGGGCGAGTATTCCATACAACGATTATTTCCACTCACCATTAAAATCATAAACGGACATCATATACCCTCTGTTGTAGCTCTCCCCTGCTATGACGTACATCGAATCCCTCCACACCGCCGCTCCGTGGGAGGCGCTCCCATTCGGGGTGAATCCCGGTACGTCTACCGTCTCCCAATACCTACAGGGTGGGTGTTCATATGTCTATATTACTCCATGATATTAAGAAAAATCCATCAGAGCCAGTATCTCTCAGTGTTTAATCAATAGATCGTTAGGTTAGTAACATGTAAATTATCAAGTTTTTAAGTCATATAGTGGACACAAAAATAAAAAGAGTATAGCAGAAAGAAAAAGGATGGGAGTTAAGGAAGGAATATTGTGCAGAACATGCAATATACTGATTAAACCACAAGAACTGTTACATTTGGCGCCCGAGCAGGGACCGAATATAAATAAGTATTCTCAATGCTCCAATAATATGGGCAGATAATGCAAGGGTTATTATAATTTTAATGGAAAATGAAGAAAAAATGGACTACCCTTCGCTTTTGAGTTGCCCGCAATCGGCTCCCTTGTAGTCGGCGTAGCACAGACAGCCCTTCTCCGGCTCGCAGCTGCCCCTCTCGTCGGAAGTCCCGCAGTTGTCTGGGCAGTCTCGCAGGTGGCAGGCGGCGCCGCCCCAACCGCCGTCGCAGCTGCAACCACCCTCCAAGCACACCCCGTGCCCCGAACAATTCAGATGGGAGATCTGAAAGCGATATCGATGCAGTAATGACAGACGTTCGTGAAGAAAATAATGGAATAGATTGTTTTTAATGGGAAGGTTTTCTGCAGATGAACTTCCATAAAATAAGTACGGAATTCCTTAATTCTACGGAATTGCGATTGATGAGTAGTAGTAGTAGTAAGTGAGGAGGCTGTAGCCAAGCAAGTAGGCCCCGTTGGGCCGTTTTTGCTAACCCCTGCTCTCCACATATCTACGCTTCCTTCACCTAGATTTCCTTTTAGAATCCCCCTGACCATCTAATGAGGGCCAGTATGTCCGTCCACTCTAACATAATCAAGTCCTCCTGTTGGATTTTGTCTACTCCAAAGATTTAAAATCTAGCCTTCCGTACGTCTCGCACTCTCCGAGAAAATGGAGTGACATTTCCTCGTTTTCCCCGCATCTGCGGCTAGTGGGGTTATCCTCTATTCCCATAAGTGATAGGTGTCTGCCTAGCCTGTTGTGTCCTGTGAGTACTCCTATGAGGAGGCGGAGTACTTGGCGGTATCTGCCAAGCAGCCACTCCTTCCATGATTTGCTTGAACCGGCCATGAAATTCTTGGCCTGCCTGCAACCTGTGATATTCCTCCAGTATTCTCCTAGTGCCTTGTCCGCCTATTCATCGAGGGCTGACGTAATTTGGCTCCTTGCCATGCCTAGTACAGGCTCTGGTCGCAGAAACGGCTCCGCGGATCCGGCCCTAGCAAGTTCGTCTGCTGTTTCGTTTCCGGGCACCCCACTATGACCCAGGACCCATACCAGTTCAACTTCCTTTGATTCTGCTAATATCTCAAGGGCATTTCCACATTCTTCTCTGCTTGGAATAGTAAGTTTGAACTTCCTATTCCATCTCAGCCTGTCCTGCACTTTATTCACTCTGAGAGTAGAGATAGGAATATCCTGCTCCACCCACTCTGCTATTTTTGGCGTCGTTGTTGACGATTACATCATAAAAATAACGATGATCCTGTCAAGATCACTAACAGGACAAATTTAATATAAATTGGGGACAATGAAAAGTTTTAGATTATAAATCGACACAGGATGACACCAAATATGACTACTATATAGCATAGCTTCTTTACTATGACATTAGCGGTCTAGATAGTTTGTGTTAGTGGATGAGGCAAGAAACTGGAAAACAAAAACATACATAACCTCAAAATTCATCAGCTCTCGGTGTGCCTAAGAAATATACGGTGCTGTGAAATATAATCTACAACTTACTCAGAAAATAATAATAAAATAATTTATTCAAATAACAATTTCCGGAAAGCTACACATATTGATGATACCGACAACGTCCTACTGACAAAGGCAATCGTATTTCAACTCTGTGTGATTGTGGCTTTCCACAAAATACGTCATAAAAATGGTGCAGGAGTCAAGGTATTTTTTATTTGTTTTCAATAATAATCTGAAATTCTACTGGTGCCTCAAGTTTTGCTCTAAGAAATATGGAAATGGCCTACATGCCATTACATTTTTTTCTAATTAATCGCTGAGACAAGTCTCATTCATTCTTTAAAAAAGTTTACTGAGAAAAAATGTTTCTATTTCAATTTTACACAGGTGTCTAGAATTCGTAGGTTCTATTGCAATGTGCACCTCTTGATATTTTTTGGTTTATTCTAATTATAACTTCGATAAAACTGTCCTAAACTTTGATTAGATATGTAAAGTAGTTTGATGATATCTAGATAGATTACTTTTGCATCAATTTAGTACTGAAAAAATCTATTTGAATAAATATCGCTGCTGAATGCTAAATGATACATCAACTTCGCATCATACATAACAGAAATTTGAAGCGAGGATTTTTATTTTCTAAAGAAAATCATATTTTTGTCGATAATTAGTGATTGAAAGTTAGTCGCATGATAAAGCTATAAAAATTAAATAGTAATTGAAAAAAATATCAAAAACTGAAAGTTGTTCTAAAACAACGGTTCACAAGTGATGAATCAAATTTCGTTCTTTCCTGAACTTTTGGAAGTTTTTTACATATTCTTCATTATTCTTATCATCAAATTGTGACTATAAGCCGTCTCCAGGGGTCCGGCGTTGTAAAAGAGGACATTTACCTTTACTTCCCAAATGAAAAGAGATAGAGTACGAGGACAACAACCTCGAAAATTAACTACTGGGAATTTAGTATTTGTAGAGCATTGACCTGAACATAACGAAAAATTTATGAGTGCTATAAATGAATTAAAAGTAAAAAAAATTATAGAAAGCTTTTATTCGAACGCTCTAAAAAGAATAAAATCAAATGTTTTTTTTTTATAATTTTAACTATCAACTTATAACCTCATTATACACAATTTATAAGATCATAAAAGCTTGTGGTGCGATTTACTTGTGTGAATAAACAAGTACTAATTTAAATTATTTCAAATACCTGCTGAGTTTGAAATTTTGAAATATCAATTTAATTAAATATTGATGATTTTGCCCTACTTAAAGCCACGTATGCTTGACCAGCAGCAAAGAGCTTCGAGCACAAGTAAATTACAGCGTGGTTGACAGTACTACCTTGCATTTTGTGTACTGTAGTACTGTACATGCCCAACATATAAAAATTGGCAGCATTCAAAGCTTTTAAAATAGAACGTCTGGCACTTCTGGCCACCATATGTCCATTCACAAAATAAACTGAAAAAAAAATGACGTACTGTGGACGGACAGGAGTTGATCCGATAAGTGATGTTGAACCCAGACATATTGTAGGCGTCGTCGCTGAAAAAATGTATCAAAGCGGCGCCGCTCTGCGCCGTCACTTCTGGTATCCTCCTGATTGCATAGGCATCCTTGTACATCAGTCCACTGAAAACGGCCAACAGTGGCGAGTCGACGCTGTCACCATCGTAAACGTACCTAGAAAATCAACTCAACACCATAGATTTTCAATTCAAAATAATCCCAAAAAATCGCCCACAATGAGAGCTAACATTTTGAGATATTGGGATCAATGTCAAAGTCAAAATGTTCAAAATTTTGCCGGATAGCCCTGAAGACAGTGGCCTGTTTTATGGAAAATATTCGAAAAAAATTATGTAGAATTTTTGAACAATTATAAAACCCTAATTTATGGAAATGCTTGAGCAGACTTATGTTATTTTACTCTCAATGTGGAACTTCATGACCAATTCTCACATTGACGGAGAAGAAAATATCTTAGCAAGAGGCCAATGACAGGAAAATAAGAAGTATATTTAACGCTGACTCTGGATAAATAATGTTAGCCCTCATTAGAATTCAATCTGGATTCATGAACCCACTTCATCATTTTCTATTGCTGGAAAAAATCAAAGCACAAACTATAATTATATGAAGCAGTTGACTCAGAGTTGTAACAAGTCATGACTTCCATAAATAGTCAAAGAAGTCCGAATTTTTGAATTAATTTCGACTTTTTTGAATTATTCAATTCACCTATAAACCTAATTTCATTTATCTGAACTGAATCCTAAAAGTATAAAAAAACTAGGTTTTCATTTCTACAATCTTAAAGGATATCATAAGAAAACATGCAATTCTTGCAAAAGACACTGAATCTATTCATTGAATCAAAATGATAAATGCAAATGCAACCTATGTCTTATTCATTAGCTTCATTAGAGCGGCATCAAAGTTGGCAATTTTCCAAATTGCAACAATTTTCATTGGGCGCCTAAAAATAGTGTAATTTTAGACAGCTGTCACAATTTATTGATGACTTGCAAGAAATGTGTCCGGAACTATTTTTACTGTGGCATTCCTATTGCTTGTGCAGCTCTAGTGATAAAATGGTGGATTTTCAATATATTATGCATTATTCATATGTTATTCAAGCATCATTAACATACATTGTTTTACAAAAAAAAACAATGCAAGCCGGTCATTACTTTTCAATAGGTTATAAAACAAAAAAAACAAAAGATACTGAGAGAATGAATAGTATATAGTAGCTATAGGTAAGCACACAAAGTTTTAAAAAATAACAAAAAATATGTACTGTAGATATGCACATAGTTCAGAACAACTACAACAAATGTATTTTTTTAAATGGGAACACCAACCATGTGAATCTGGGCCAGACAGCTAGTCTATAAGATAATCAATACAATATGATGTGTATGCCAGAAAAGCCATATGAAAACACAACAATTTTATGGAACACAGCATTTGCCAGCACATTCCCTAGTCAGTAAACTGACATCATGAGTATATCAACTAGTTTTCAAATAAAACAAACTGTAAATTGATGTTTATTGATGGAATAAAAGGTGAATAATCCAAGTGAGGCCATCACTGGACCTGTAGTTTGGGTATGAAGACATGAGACTTGATCTTTTCAGGAATAACTTCTTCATTGTCTAAAATAATGTTTTACTAGATCTCTGACCAGCAATTTTGACCAAACCCCATGACAGTTATGGGTCTTACATCCAGTTCTTTCTTTAGAAATTCATTTTTCAAGAAACATTAGGAATAATGAGTTGAAAAAACATAAATTAGTAAATTAGTGTGACTACTAACTGACAATCTCATGAATGCATTCTAATTATGTAATTTGAGTTTTGTTATTGTTGTTATTATTACATACAGATGATCCCAGCCACACTCAGTGGCAAACTCTTCAATGTGGAGGGTGATGGTAGAATTTGGGGCATCTATCAGCCAGCTACATTTGCTGGTGAGTGAGTAGTTGCCTGAACCATCATGGATAGTCCCTGTCGTGGTACCCAGTCTGTAACAAGAACACAAGTCCAATTTCCAAAAATATTCAAGTTGAGATGCTTACAATTCTATATGGATCTATATTGAGATCTATATTAAAGTCATCAGGGTAGCTTTGAAGGTGCAAATATTTCAAACACTGAGAAAGCTTGACATGTACTATGGAATGGCACTAATAAAAAAAATTTAGGGATCAAAATTAAATATAAGGTTAGACCCCTTCTTCCACTCAAAGTTCTACACTGTAGCAAATCTGATGTCACCTCTGTTCAAATTTCCATGCAATGGGAACAATTACATGGAGTTCTATCATTTAAATTGTTTCAAACAGGGGTTATTGATTTTGGGTGTATGATAAATTGACATTCATTATACAGGGCGTGGAAAGAAATTCTAAATTGAGACTCTATCACAAATCTGCGATTAGAGGTCTATAAAAATCACAAGTTTCCATCGTTCAAGTTTGAGCCCCCTGATTGGGTATGAAAGTGTTAAAAAGGAATTTTTTTTTTTTTTTCAATAGATATAATTCAATGTTCGTCGTGGCATATAGCCAGGAAAGTAGTTGTTTTCTATTGAATCAACTGAAAAAGAGTAAATATTCTCATCACATAGAGAATGCGAATTCTCAATGTATTGCTTTATATAAATATATATCCATTTTTGTATGTTCATAATTCATCTGAGAATATTCCTTTTCAAGGGGTTATTGATTTTTTCTCGTTCTTTGTTCAATTTTTGGGATGAAATTTTTGGTTGATTAAGAGAATTAGAAAAAAATTGATATCATGGGAATATTCCTTAGACCATATCATATTAATGTGCTGAAAATGTGCAATATTTCAGAAACACCTCGTATATTGGTTTAAGGGTCTGCAATGCAATATTATGATTAAAAATCAACAGCTTTGATCATAATGAACTTAATGAAAAAATTCTGGAAAAATGTTTGGAGGAAAATCAATGCCAACATCTTGGCCAACATCTATCAAGATTGCTTTTGTCATTGCTTTTGTGTTGTATGAAAAATAGCCATAGGTGTATGTGGAGGTGTATGTTTGTCATTTATGTGCAATTAAGATTAGATACATTCCTCCCCATATAGATTGTAAGTAATTACCTATTATTTGCAAAATGTTCCTGCGAGTATGTTATCTTTGATTATGTTGATAACAATGAGGTTAGTATTTAACTGGGTATTTAATAAATAAATAGCTATTATTTGTTTTTGATGAGGTTTTTAATAATGGAAATTGAGATGATATGAGATTCTCAAAATATTTACTTGATATTAAAGTAATAATTGAATATCATGAGGAAAATCATGTTGGTACTCAACTTGGCACTAAATTCTAACTTGAAACATCTATATCAGCTGGTCCCAACTAATAACCAAGACAATAACTTACAAATAATTGTAAACAAGTAAATACATCATAATCAAAATTCCGGTCATTCCATGAGACAATTTTTTTCTGAGGAAAGTGCCTACTTATTTAAAATCAACTATGTTAATCTACAAGGTGTACCTAATTTCTACAAATAGGTATGTCATACAAACACTATATTGAATTTTCAACTAATTCAATGACACCTCCTACCTTGTGGAAGTGAGGAAAACCTACACTGTCTTATATAATTGCAGCTAAACCCCTTGTAAAGCCCTTATGAGGGTTGAATAATATTTCATTTTGAAATTCCTCATACCTGACATAAGGAGCTATGCTATGGCTGTGATAAATTTTTCAAGTGAGTAGGAAGCCAAAGAGGCTATTTTGAAATGGAAAGAAGACTTTTCATGTAAGCATCTGTTTATGCCTTGGTATATGCCTACAAGTGATGCATGTACAGTTAGGTATTTAAATTGGGACAATGCCTCTGCTCTCTACTCTTTCAATATACTGGTACCATATACTTACATCATGTTACTGTTAGAGGTCTTACCTTACTTTTCCTCCACAAAACTGGCACATGGGGCCTTGCCACCCATCATAACAAACACAAGTATCGTTTTTGCAAACCCCATTCCCACTACAAGTAGTGTCATTGCATTTTGCAGAGACATCCGATACCAGAGACAGAGCACCAACAATCACTAGACAACAAATTAAAAGTTTCTTCGTGTATATTTTTCGTCGATATTTGGACTTGAATAAAAATAAGAACATTTGTAAAATTTCTATCATATTTGAGTAACCATAATACGTCAAAATCGAAAGGGCACTAATTTCACATTGTTTTTAGATCGCCACAAACAGAACACCACGAAACATTATTCAATTATTTAAATATTGTAGGAAGGAGCTATTAGTAATATATTTTCTGTGAGAATTTCAGTTTAAAAGCAGTATGTTTTACAAATTTATTTTATATTTTGATAATAAAGTCGTCCACTAGTACTACAGATACAGAACACTCAGAACAGAAACAGAAAACAGAAACAATGACACAGAACAGAAACAAAAAATACAAGTTGATTGATTGATGTGTTGATGGTGTTGACTGTTGACATTATGTTGACGTTGACACTAGAGAGAAACTATCTTCTTCTCTTCTTCTTCTTCTTCTTCTTCTTCTTCTTCTTCTTCTTCTTCTTCTTCTTCTTCTTCGTTTCATTAATATTGGTCAGCTGGGGTGTTTACTCTGTTTACATTGAGTTCATTTGGCTGCGTGGGGCTGAGGTGCGGAAGTGCCGACTTTAGTAAGCATACAATTTTTTTTAAATTTGCAGTGAAATTTTGAAACCAATTTTATAATTTTCTCATCTATGCCTTGACAATTATCATTCTAAGGAGCTAACGTGAATAAATGACATTGTGTCTCCTTTTTTATGGTAACTATACCTACAAGTAGTGCATGTACAAGATTTTGATACATCATACATCGCAAATCGGTTAATAGTTCATAAGGTTATACTTTGATGATATAAAACTCCTATTTCATCAAACTTCTTTGCTTATTAAAACAACATTTTCATGATACATTTCTATAGGGGATTAGGGAAACCACCGAAGGCACCAATTCTATCTATTCAGAGTTCAGACTATCAGACTGGACTACCTGGTAGATACTGAACCGAAATAAATGGATTCAATAAAGGAGAATTGTCATTTTTTAATAAAAATAATCATCAAACTCAAGTATAGTTTTTATTCAATTGAATATATATATCTACCTATACCTCCGTATACCTCCTACCAATTTTTCCCTATTCATTTAGCTCAACTGCAGGATTTTCATACTTTACACCACCTAAGGTTAGAACCATTTCAAAATGACTGATTATTGATGAGTGAAAAAACCTATGACTTTGCATAAGCAATACGACTACACTACAGTAAGATTGATGAAATCAATCTCTATATATTTCATCATCAATGAAATTAATGTTCAATATAATATAAGGTACCAATAAGGGTGATTTAAAATATAATCAATAGGCAAATTGAAATAGTTTTTATCATACATTTGTGAATTTTTACATTTTTACCAACCATGAATGATACTTATTCCTTCACTCTATTGGTCTGCAGTTTCTGTTGTCTGACTGTGGTTTGTTATCAATATTTTCTTGTGCAAGAATTTTGCTAACAATATTGTTTGTGGAATTCCAAATGCCCATCATCTTCAACCTGTGAAATAAATTGAACATACAATGAGAGGCTGTGTGAAAAATATTCCTTCATTCACAACCAATAAATGTACCCATAGGTATACTATATATACATAAAATTGAAATGTTATTCTCGTGGTTTTTGCAGTGAAACATCATATATTTCTGTAGGCCAGTGTTCGGCAACAAGATGGCCGCGGTCCGAATCCGAAACGCGTAATATCGAACGACGGAACCTTAAGCGACTCGGTGGCCGCCTCGGCAGCCCAGTCGTCGCTGGGTATCTTTAAACGAGATGTTGAAAGTCAGGAATGTCTTCGGTTTCCCAACCCAGAAAACACCAACCATCGGCCCAGCATTTATAACGCACACCTCTCCCGGCAATTCATGTACTTTTCCGGTGTCGCGAGGTTTCCAGGCGGCCGCCAGCCGGCCGTAATACACATTACCGGCGATTAAATTATTGACTCAGAAGTGCTACATCGGCAACTAATTTCAATGCACCATTTAACAGAGATCACAAGACAGACTTCAATGTCTAGCGTGACGATGTTTTGTAGGGCACTCAGTAACCGAAAATTGTCAAATAACAAATATAGTACATAAAATGAATATAATTTATTATTATTAATTTAAAGATGCATACATTTGTACATGGAATACTGAGAGAAATTGAATAAATTGAAATTGAATTTATGGGAGCGCTCAGTCATCAACGTATATGTGCTTGCAAATCTATATCAAGGAAGATGAGTTTTTCGAGCACTTTCCAAGTATCTGTCCACGAACTACTAACTTTAAATGCGCACAACATATATCATGGGTATGGAAAAGGTGAAATATAAAAGAGGCAGACTCAACCTTTACGAACATCGTAGAGGTTGGTAAATTTTTACATTTTTTGATGTATTTTCTGTCCAATAAAGTATTAATCAGTCTGATTGTTCTTTTTATTCATAAAACGTTGAGTATACAAGGTGTTCTTGAAATAAGTATACATAGAATCAGCACATGGATATGATCCGCATCAGTCGAACGAATATTCCCATGATATCAGATGTTTCCTAACTCTTTTAATTAACAAGAAATTTCATCCCGGAAACTGAACAAAAAACGAGAGAAAAATCATGTATGCCACTTTAAAACAATTCAAATGATTGAAATTCGCGTGATTGTGCCTAGAAAATATTTGCACTTATTTCAATGCCACCCTGTATATAGTAGTAACCTCGCAATTATATAAGTGGAACGTGATTGTTATCTAGATTCTGACATGACATTGACATCTTATTGATGTAACAATAATGTAACTAGTATCACACATATAGAATTGATGTAACGGTTTGCGGATATTATTATGCATAGTCAACTCATTAATTTTGAACCTACTCATTCCCTCTTTTGTTACGTAACTGATCAACAAAATTATGTACCTAATGTTCATGTGTTAGTTACGTAAATGTGTTTTCTGGGAAGCCTTTAATATTTTCTTGCAAATGTATAAATCTGCATCCACTGAAGAATTGTTGGGGGAAAATATATATTTCAGAAAATTATGAAAATTGCAAAAAAAACAGCTATCAAGCTGGTTACCATAATTGGCTACACATATATACAGCGTGTCTCACTTTAGACTATACCTCCCCCGAACCTCCCCTCTTTATCTCAGCTATTAGTAGTGCCATTCGTACCGGTATGAATAACCACCGATATGATCAGTTTTTCAGAAAAGAACATCATTTTGAACGGTGCTCCTTTTTCAAATTAACAAACACTCACCTTGAAGGCACTCTTCGCATTTGCTTTTCCCCGCGGCGTGATGAATCAAACTATACGTGTAATTTCGCGCATTAATTTTTGAGAATACCTAACTATTGTGTTTTATACCATTACATTGATGAGTCAAAATAAAAATGTTTGGATCTCACTTAAAATTACTTGCTGACCCCTGCTTTAGGCAAACACCACAAGTATTTTTTTCATGTTCTGGTTCCCACGAAAAGTGATATCATATAATGTTCAGAGAACATCGTGAGTACCAAGGGAAATAAGGTAGGAATTGGTGTTCTTCTTGAATTTCTGGAGGTTATATGCCTCGAGAAACACCTCCCTTGGCAATGTGTTCTAGAGCCTCGCTGTTCGTGGGATGAACGAGTCTTTGGAAAGAGATGTTTTGCAGGTCTCCAAAGTGACCACGAAGGGGTGCGAAGCCTCAACTCGACGGGTTAAAATGGCGGGGACTGCAAAGGGAGGAACAATGGTTGATATTTCAGAAGAGCATCGTCCATGAGAATATCTATAAAATAGAGCCAGATCGCCAACTTTCCTACGGTGTTCCAGAGAAGTGAGTGAGTTTGTGAGCGAGGCATCACCCACGAGACGAATTGCTCTTTTTTGGACATAATCCAACAGTTTCAGGGTATGTTTGGGTGCTGCACTCCAAATATGGGAACAGTATTCCAGGACGGGTCGGATCTGTGCCCTATAGATCATAAGCAGCTGACTGAAAGGGAAATAGCTCCTGGTCCGAAACAGAAAGCCAAGTTTTTGGAATGCACTTTTAGCAATTTATTGATCTCACGTTTTCCCAAGAAAGGTTATTTCTGATGGTAATACCAAGCATCGAATTGGATGTCTTCAAAGGTTTGGTTACTCCTGAAAAGCGTATGTTGGGCACAGTGAAATCGACTTTTCTAGAGAAAAGGCATAGTAATACCCAAGCATCGAAATGGATAAGTATAATACATATAGCCTATAATTGCTATAGTATATTGGCACATGGTTATACCTAAAATCTACTTTCAATTCAACTGGAATTCAATGACCCCCTAAATTACCTATTTGGTGATATTCTACTTACGTTGCAACAGTTATATTGTACCTCGCCAAATTCAGAACGGGGTACTGACTGAAAGATACCCTTATCCAAAGGGGTGGTTTGAAATCATAAACGTTCACAAAAAACGTTGTTTGAGGTGTACCATCTTCACCTTCAAATTCATACAGTGACCTGGGAAATTTCAGTCCAGTGCAAGTGGTAGAACAATTGTAATTTTCATATACCAGCTTTTCCTCGGACTTTTTCGTCTTGGCAGTTATATTTATTTTCGCTGGTAGGGAGCAAGTTATAGCAAAATCTGCGTCGTATTCTTTGGGCGGGCTATTCATGAAGTTGATCTGGCTAAAATGGATGTCTTCTCTCTTGGATAGGTTGAAAGTGTATTGGTAATCGGTGGTAACAGTATCTGTTATGGAAAAATTCTTAAATTCGATGAATGAATGAAAAATGGGAAGTGTTATTATTGCATTATTTTCTATATTTCAAAGGTTTCGTGACATGATGAATGTATTGGTAATAGTAGGGGAGGCAAAGATGCTATATAGGGCGAGTTACTCGAGCGTCGTCAAGTAGCCTTCATTCAAAAGGCTGAAGATTTGGACGCGACCAAAAGTCATGACTGATTTTTGAAAATGAAAAAAAAAGATATATCGTGATCTTGAATTACTCGAGCGAGTCAGAGATTATTATACAGACGCTTCATCATAATGTCCTTGTCGTATTGATCCATAATCTGGCAATTATGTAGAGGAATTTCCTTAAACTGACCATGGTACACACGGAGAAACATTCATCGTTGATTTCACCTTGGATTTCACACATCACCATTCGTCTTACACTGAGAAAACATGCTTGTATTATTCGCAGAAATGGTAAAGGTATATCTATATGGCATATGCATATTGAAAAAATCTCATGTATTGACCGATTTGGCTACGCAGATCAATATCTTATCAGATTGAATAATGAAACTGAAGAAAATATGAATATGTTTCTGATTATTTATATTTGGCCAAGTACTGATCTCGTCAGAGTTCAACCCATCTTATTCACATTGGTAACCATGACAACGCATACCAATTCTGTCTTATTTCCCTCGTAATTTCTTTCAAAAGAAATAGAATATTGTGCAACAAGTGGGGAAAGTTCAACTTTTCTCACGTCTGTGAAAGTTTGTGGCACGAGTGGTGCAAAATGCACACGAGTGAGAATAGTTATTTGTTTAACTAGGCAGCAAAGTAGTAGATTGACTGCCGTGGCTGAATTCATAGCCGAGCGTAGCGAGGCTAGGAATCCAGCAAAGGCAGTCAATCTACTGTGCTACCGCGTTGAACATATGATTTTTTCTCCGATTGTTCATAATGATATGGGAGAATATTGTGTTTGCGAATTAATACAATTCCCACAATTTCTTTATTCTTCCTGTATAGTGTTCAATTAAAATAAAATTTTATAGAAATCGTAGTTGTTGGTTTGACAATTCATGAAATTTCTGACAATTGTGCGAAACAATATCGGTATACTTAAATTATTATATAATGGACAGTGATAGCGACCTGGAAGTATACTTTTACACCTCCATTAATAGGGGAGGTGGCAAAAAATATAGAGTTGAATTTGTTGCCGGAGAAGTCTCGGATGAAATATGAAGGAAATCATAAACTATTTATGGATTTTTAATTTTGCTGATACATATCAATCAGCAAAGTACCCACTTTGCTGCCTAGGCAGGAAAAGTAATACTTTGCTGATTGATATGTGTCAGCAAAATTAATATTTGCTGCCAATCGGAGGAAAAAGTACTTTTCCCAACATGGTTTTGAAACTAAGTTAGCTATGAGAAATGCCCTATACTTTTCATAGCAGTAGTAGAAAAATCTTTTTACTATTCATTTCTCAATTGTTTCTTTATCAATTTCAATAAAGCGTTGTGGGTCTGTTTCATATTTTTGTTAGATTGAACTATTTAAATAACAACTATTCATCCTCTGTGAGATTACTCAATTAGAATCATTTTCATATTTTGGGGCTTTCTCAGTCTCCATCCATACGGAATTTTGGCACCTTGAAAGCTTATACAGGCGGGTTAAAAATAAAAACAATCAATACTTCCAACTTCAACTTTCTGTATCTCAAAAACGAAGCAAGTTAGGACACATGTTTATGTAAACTTTATTTTGTAGAATGTCACAATAAGGAAACTCCCCTTGAATTTTTTCGGTGTTATTCAGATAAACCACAGTTAAAAGAATACAAATATTTATTTGTATTCTTTTAACTGTGGATAAACCCTGTATAAAGACTCAGGTATGGTGGGAGTATATAGGTACTTATTCACACCATATACGTATTAATAAACAATACGGATCATAACGGATGCCAGGATGAAGCCAAAAATATGAAACAAATGAATATCCATAAGGATTTGGTGGCATGATACGCATGCGCCATGCGCTATTATAGTAGTCATCAAAGACATGCGTTTCGGTGGACAATGACGTTTACTAGCCTTTCAATCAAAGCAGTATGTGTCTGATCGTTTCAAAACTTTTCCTTATGGATAGTCATTTGTCTTCAAAAATCGGCTTCATGTTTCGCTATGGAAACAGATAGAGATTATCCGTATTGATTATTATTACGTATATGATTCACACTCGAGTAAATCCCGAAATCCCCGCTTGGGCTCCCCTACTATAATCAATAATATTATGGTTTTCTGGATACTCACAATAACAAGATTTTTTCACAGGATCCATATAATAGTGATTCTGGATATCACACTCCTTGCACTGATCTCCAATTGTTCCCTTTGTCCTACAATTGCCATTTTCGGTTTCTGATGGATTGCGAAAATGTTCTTCTGCATTTGCTAACACATCAGCAAATAGAGAAAATGCTATCAAACTCGCTAGACAACCAATAAAAAAGTTGCGACACATTTTCGATTTGGAAATTGGCTTTTTTTTATATGATAATATTTCACACTTTCTAATTCTTCATAGTCAAAATGAAGTGAGGCAGTCTTCGAAGTCAAACTGGTTCTATACCGACTTAGGATTCAAGGTCAGAAATAAGAGATGATAACCTTTATACTTTTAGACAAACATATTATAGCTACTCGCAATTTTTCAATATTCATTCATTCGGTTCAATGTACCAATTCTGATGGTTAGCTACTCAGGTTAGCTGAGAAAACTAACAAAAGTTGTTTATCCCATATAAAAAGCTATCCGCTCTATCATATTACCTATACAGTGTGTCCATTAGTGCGTAATTCTTCGATATTTCGAAAGCCATAACCTATAGAGAAAAACTTTGGAGAAAAAACTTTTTCAGTTACTAAAGTTGCTCATTTCAAAATTATTCTCAACATTACTGGGTGTTTTATAAAAGCAAGAGGCAACTCGAAGAAGAGTTTTTTTTAATGGAACACCCAGTATTGTTCATTTGGAATTAATTCCGCCGAGGTTCACCTTCACATCGCTGTAAAAAAAATTGAAATCGGTTGCGGCGTTGCCAAGTTATAATTGATAAATCTATTTTTACCATATTCATTTATTCAAATTTTGAAAATTATTTTGGCATACGGTAGAACCAAGGTCCAACGTATACCAATCCAGTAATTTTGCGACGTTCTTCAACAGAGTGCTCAATTTTGCATTTAGAATTTTGCAAGATTCAGATGACAGTCATCAGAATTTTTCAAATGGAACACCCTGTATTTTTATCCAAAAATTCATTCCGACATCTTTCGCCCTTTCATCGCTGGAAAAAAAATCGAAATCGGTTACGGCGTTGTCAAGTTATGTTTAATTTCCTTATTTTCACTACTATTAGTACTATATTTCGGGGTAATTTGTACGTCATAGTTCTTTCATTAATTTGTATTGTGGAAATATTGCGTTGCTACGGTATATTCAAATTTGTTCATTGACCATTCATATATTTTTTTTACAAAAGGAACATTTACAGGCTCTCCAAGTTTGATTTTTTTTCGAAATATTTGTGTAATGACCTGTCAAACATCGCCACAATCGAATATATCTTGGATTGATTCGACATTTTGCTGAATTCCCTCCCAAAAGCCGCGTAGTAGAGACATATTGTTTGTCATCATTATGTTTACCTTCTTCAAATTAAATGGCGATTTGGATTGTGAAAATAACGACAATAAAAATGGCCTAAATTTCAAAAATTTGTCCTTATTTTCGCAATCCGCATCTTCATTGTTTGTATTGTAGAAGTTATCTCAAAGACAGGCGTTGCTTTTGGCAGGTTTGTTCGTTTCACATATTATTTGAACCATAAGTAACAAGATTACGGAATATTTCAAATTTGGACGATGCACATATCACAAAAATACCTGAATGATCTATTTAGAACCTCGAATGTCATGTGTCAAGCAATATTCCCACACTCAAATCAAATTAAGAAACCATCATGACGTACAAATTACCCCGAAATAGTAGTAAAAATAAGGAAATTACTCATAACTTGAAAACGCCGCAACCGATTTTGATTTTTTGTTCTGCGATGAAAAGGCGAATGATGTCGAAATAAATCCGTGATGAAAAATACAGGGTGTTCCATTTGAAAAAACTCGTCTTCGAGTTGCCCCGCTTTTATAAAACACCCAGTATTGTTGGAAATATTTTCTAAATGAGCAACTTTAGTAACTGAAAGAGTTTTTTTTCCAAAGTTTTTCTCTTGTGATAATTGATTACAAGATATCGAAGAATTACGCACTAAATGGACACACTGTATAATACTATAGCTTATATAGGCTTTCCGTCATGGGAAGAAAAAATACAGGTGAATTTGGAAAAGGGATTTCATCGCAACTAATAACTAATATGTCTGTTGAATACATGGACGTATATACATATATAACATACGTCCATGGTTGAATATTTAATACACGGAAAAAAAGAATTTGTTGCATCAACAAATTATTTATGCTTGAGGTATTTTTGTTGAATCAACCAGATACATGATTATTCCTTGGAAGCAGCTTGTTCAAATCAAGAATGTAGGCTAATTGAATCAACAGTATAATATCAATTCCATCAACAAAATATATGGTTTCTTCAAAAACAAATTATGTCGATCCAACTATGAACATTTCGTTGATTTGATCAAAAAATGATCATTTTGATGAGATTATATCTTTTAAAAAACATACAAGTTTTCTTATTCCGATGTAGCAATAAACTCGTTTCGAACGGATCATTCGCTTGAATAATAGAGCAACGAAATGTGTAAAATCAATGAAATATTTTATTTATTCTACATCAACTTTAATTTTCGCCTCTAGATGGCGATCATTTCGACTCGTCTATGCCTCCCTCGAATCCATTATATACGTGAAGCCTGATTCTTCGTGTTTGAAATATTAGCTGGATAAATCGAACTTAGGATGATTAGCAATCCGAAATAGTTTTCCATCAGCTAAGGAGAAGTAGAGACTTGGGATCTATGCTGGGAGTCGACTAGTTTCCTAGTTTTGTTTATTCTATTGATGTGAAATTTCAGAAAATCTCCGAATATTGAATTTGGTTTAACAAAACAATATGTCGAATGGATATATAGTTTCTCTTGAATCAACAAAATATGTCATTGATTTAACCAAATATTTAATTGAATCAACCAAATATTTCTTTGAATCAACCAAATATTTCGTTGAATCAATATCTTGTTATTATGAATCAAACAAAATGATTGTTTGAGCCAATTCAATATCTCTTCATAAACAATTCATGAATGTGCTTTATCGAAGAAGATACAGAGTTCATGCAAGACATATTTACTTGATTCAAACTTCAAATTCGCTCTGAAACAAGATATAGATTTACTCATTTCAAGATTATATCTTGTCCTGCATATATGACACTTTTATTTGCTCCATTCAATTAAATTTTGCTTGATTCAACAATTCCTTTTTTTCCGTGTAGGAAACGTAAAGGTACTATACAGTCAACAGTTAATTAGGAGCACCTATAGATAATTATAGTAATTGTCGGAATGCCATGATTACTGCGAATTCGATTGTATAGCATATATATAGAGGTCTGGTACTACCACAATGGCCAGAGGCAATGAAAGGTAACGACTGTAATGACGGTAACCACCTAGGACAGTATCTTTGCAAAACTCGTTTGCTGACCATCTCTCGTATCGTATTTTTTTCGTCTTTTCACTCCTTCTCCACATATTCCTCAAAACTGCACTGTTAGCATGCAAGTATAGAGGTGGAATTTCGCCAGTGGTACTGCCAAGAGTGCCAAGTAGGTACTACTTACTTTCACACATAATTAGCTAGCTCTATCACATGGTAGATGTAATAGTCAAGAACCGTGAAATAATGTGTTATAGTGAATGGTTACGATGATTTAGTGTCGAATTTTTTTCCGATACGAAACTGGAGGTAAGGTCAAAGTTTTGAATTCAATAAGGTGGGATGTCGTTTTTGAAGTTATTGTTAACCCTGTATAGGTATTTAAAAGTAGGTATTTCAACATCTCATTCAGAAACTTTTGTGAAATCTTGGGCAATTACCAATAATTGATTTTCAACGCACAAGTTCAAATTATTGGTTGTTTTCTAAGTGTTGAAATCATTGGCACCAAACACGAATTTAGGCAACATGCACTTCATCATCAGTGGTGAAGAAATGAAAACGTGAAATTCGAATATAGTTTTCGATTGTTTGAAGAACTACGATTGTTTCATCTGAAGGCCGGTAAAGTAATAATAATATCCAATAGATTATTATCGCCTATTGTTCTAAGAGGAAATTCACCACATTTAAATAAGTACCACCTACTATACCGGGGGACACAGGGTATCGGTAACTTCTGCATTAATGAACGGATTTTTCTCAAATTCAGTAGGGCCGAGTCTATTCATCCAATTTGGCGGACTTTCGGTTTTTCCGGAAATGCCAGCAATTCTGTTCACATATTCTAGTTCAACAAGTCGAAACGAATTGTTATATGATAGGAAACTCGTAGGAAAAATGTTGTTCCTAACACTTTGCGCACTTGTTAGGAAAATAACTATATCAAATGTGCAAAAAGAATCGCTATATCCCAACTATTGGTACTGATCTATTTCAGAGGACGTCGATTCCAGTGGTGTACGGTTGTTTTCTAAAAAAATTGTTAAAGTGCACTTATCATGCGATGGGTTTTTTTCGAAACATTTTTCTCGTCACTTACGTATTTTCCTTCTGAAAAACACGGATTTCACAATGAAAATGTGAAAAACCGCTATTAATCGAGATATTTCAGGAAAAAGTTCGAAATTTCACCTTTTCTTTTGCCACCCAACTTGGATATATATTTACAACTACTTGGCCTTTTTTTTCCATCACTGGACACTTTAAATACTCACGTTGTACTTCTGAAATACATTTTATTTCCTAAAATCAACAAGAAGTATGATTTATAAGGAAATTATTTCATATTATGCAAATGAGATAAACAATAGTTTGTTACCTCGCAATTTTTTTTTACATTTGACTTTTATTTGACATCTCGTATTTGTATGGTACCTATACCATATTTGGAGTGCAGCACCCAAACATACCCTGAAACTGTTGGATTCTGTCCAAAAAAGGGCAATAATTCGTCTCGTGGGTGATGCCTCGCTCACAAACTCACTCACTTCTCTGGAACACCGTAGGAAAGTTGGCGATCTGGCTCTATTTTATAGATATTTTCATGGACGATGCTCTTCTGAAATATCAACAATTGTACCTCCCTTGGCAGTCCCCGCAAGATTAACCCGTCGAGTTGAGGCTTCGCACCCCTTCGGGGTCACTTTGGAGACCTGCAGAACATCTCTTTCCAAAGACTCGTTCATCCAAAGAACAGCGAGGCTCTTGAACACATTGCCAAGGGAGGTGTTCACCGAGGCATATAACCTCAAGAAGAACAAAAATTCCAACCTTATTTCCCTTGGTTCTCACGATGTTCTCTGAACATTATATACAGGATATCCCTTTTCGTGGGAACCAGAACATAAAAAAAATGATTAGATTTGATAATTGAATGGCCGTCAGCAGGTGTTATTGTTGTTCACCTCACTAATAGATGATGAAATTCCAAATCGAGTTCCAAATAAACCATAGTTCTTGTTGATTTTAGGATTTTTTTGTTTTGATAAAGTGCTGTTCGACATCTTTCGAGGTTGACAATGAAAGGATGTGCTGACTGGACTTGTCTAGTTCGTCTGACTGGTATTGCTAGTGAAGGGATGATAGGAGAGATTTCCGAAAAACATTTCCCGTGAAAGTATCGATAGAAAAGTGAAGGGTCGCCGACCTTTCTACGGTGTTGCAATGATGTCAAAGAGTGAGTGAGTGTGGCGTCACCCACCAGGCGAATGGCTCTTCTCTGGATGGAATCTAAGAGCATCAGCGTATGTTTTGGTGCTGAACCCCATATGTGGAAACAGTATTCTAGAACAGGCCGTATCTGCGTTTTGTAGATCATGAGAAGCTGTTGAGGTGTAAAGTAGCTTCTCGCACGGAACAAGAATCCGAGTTTTTGTGAAGCAGCTTTTGGGATGGATCTGACATGATTATTATAAAATGTGTTATTGAAGTACAACGTTAGTATATAAATTATCCAGTGATGAAAAGAAGGACAATTAGTTGTAAATGATTTTCCCAGATGGGTAGCAACAGAAGGTGAAATTTCGAACTTTTTTGTAAAATATTCCGAGAAATAGCGGTTGATTCACATTTTCATTTTAAAATTCGTGTTTTTCAGACGAAAATACGAAGGTTTCAAAATCATTCTTCGAAAAATAACCCATCGCAGGATAATTGCACTTGCACCCAAAAAATCCCTGATATGGATTCTGGATTTCACAGCCTCTGAATGTGATCTAGTCGGCTTTGGTTCTTTAAAAAAATTGACGCCACTTAGCTCCAAAATACACTTTTCCCCCCTCTATATTTGAAAAATGAATCGTGAAAATTGCTGCATAAATTTAAAAAAATTGAGGGTGGCCCGCTTTCATGGGTCACTCTGTATTGACTAACAGGTACATAAATTAACGATCTGAACTTTCATGGAGGTATTATTTCTTCGAATACCTTATAATAGATACTACCCATATTACCTACCACAGAACATATTATCAGTGTTCCAAGAGAATTCACTTTTATCACCATACCAATTTTTTTTTCACTCTTCTCTAAACCCCTATCAAATATGCATTAATATAATTATACCTAGGTAACGTATTCTTATTATAATGATGTGTAGGTATTTGAATCATAATATCAGGTAGGTACTAGCCCGTTTTGGGGTATTTTATGATAGCTATATACCAATATACCTACTGAACTTGATTTTTCAGAATCAAAGTAGTGTGAAACTATGTGTGCTTTTAATTGAGCCAATGGTATAATTTGGATATGAAATAATCAACCAAGATGGCCTTCATTTCGATAAACAGTAAGTACCCATAAGGACCCAAAAAGCGAAATATTGACTAAAATTGTCTCCTTTAATTTTTTCAGATATAATACCTACAAGGGCAGTAGTATGGATTATGCTGTTCACGTGTACCTTTTTCTTGTACATGATAAGAATTAATTTGTCAATTATTCTTCTGGCCATGGTAGAAACAAAAAGCGGAGGTAACAGCACGTTTGTCCCAGAATGCACAAGAATTCAAACAAACAGCAGTGGTACCAATTTGAGCAATTATCGTGAAAGTGGTACATCAGAAAAAATTATTAATGTGAGTAGAAACATCTATTGAGGCTGACACCAGCGTAGATAAGGGGTGGGTACTGGGGGACAATATCCCCCCTGAAAGCACAAAAATAGTAAAACAGTAAAAGACTTAGAAACAATAATTAATAATGAATTCAAAATGTTATATATCAACAGGTTGATGCCTGATTATGTTCTATACCAGTGATTCAAAGATTCTAGTGCAACAAGTTATTCTGAATATGTTAGTAAATTTAGAAATGAATTCTCTCCCAAACATTTTAGTCAGATTTGAACCTACAATAATTTACCCAAAGAAACAGCCTTAGATACTTTACAGCATTGCAGTATCGAAATATTTCCCACTATTTATACACTCCTGCAGATACTAATAGATTGTTTTATTAGGATCAAAAGTGACACTTTGTTTGACAAGCGAATTTTGCATTTGCGAGGGGAAGCGTTTAGCGAAGCCGAGCGAAAGCAAAATTTGCGAGTCGAACAAAGTCACTTTTGATCCGAATAAAACATGCTATTTTTTCTGCAACCGAAACAATTAACCAAAATAAACATGTGAAGTAACCACCAATGCCGTGCCATATGTATGCAATGCAACAAATATTGACAAATAATCCATGTGGTGAGAATATTCTACCTGCATCAACAGCAGGTTAGGTTTTCTAGGATGTTCGAATTGTAGTTTCAATATAAATACAATCTCAGAGTGATATATTTTGTGTATGGACCAGGTGCTCTAATGGCAAATACCGCGCCAGTGCCAGCTATAGCAACAAGACGTGGAAAATGTTAGGTTAGTGAGCATATCAACAATGATGATAGCACATGATAGTGATTATTTATTCCCCTCCATACTACACTGTGTTTGACTTGATAACCAAATGAAGCTAAACAATATCGTTGTTTGAGACAAAAAAACTATTGCTTGCCGTGATTATTCGAAAACAAGTTATCCATCCCGAGAATAACGAATGAAATACAGATCAAGCAAGTATTTGAATCTTGAAGGCTTCTCTGATCAAAACAAAAATACTCAACTTAGATGTTTGTAATTCCAATACTAAACTATAATAAGCAGGTGTATTTATATCTCCAGCATGGGTATGAAATGCCAAATCTGCTGAAATCGGAAACAAATCAGGTATGCGCCTCAACCCAAATAACCAACCGTCACAATGTTGTTTATTCTTGATGAGTACATCCTTTTTAGTTCCTAGGAGCTGAAGTTCAACTTTAGCTCCTAGGAACTAAAATTCAACTTTAGTTCCTAGGAACTAAATATATGTTGTCTAGCAACATACCTATTTTTGTGTCAGTAATAGAAACGTCAATTTAAGAGCTGATTTTGGTATCAAAATTGACGACTTTTGTGTCGGTTGCAGAAAAAATCTGTTATGCCGGTGAGTGTGGCGAGTGCTGAAAGATCATTTTTTATACATTTAAGTGAGACACTGAAATCATGGTTGAGGTGTACAATGGGTCAGGCTGGTCGGATTAACTTTATATTTAATATTCATAGATATATTGAAATAGATATAGATGCTGTTATCGATAGGTTTTCCTCGAGATTTTCAAAGCAATGTAAAAGACTTTGTTCTACAATCTATAGTCACGGGGGTACCTGATATTTTGTTAATTAGATTTAATCAAGATTTTCGAATGATAAGTTACCTATACTTTATATTATTATCTAATGGTGAAATTGAGAGATTATTTCTTTTTTTTTTCATCTAGTTCATATAATACGCATATCAAATATATTTTCATCGAGAATATTCATCTTGATTTGTTCATTTGAATGACTGATAAGTGTTATTTTGGTAATTTTGAATATTCTGAGATATAAAATCAGCTTCAATAAGAGTTGAAGCTAATAAACCACCATTTTGTGTTGATTCATTATACACTGAAACGCGTTGTACGACTAGGCAACCCCCAAATTATAATTTAATTTCCGCTACTGAGTATCTCCCCTATGAAACAAACATACCTACGCGCCTGGAGGCTGATGAAGAATATCTTCTATCATACGCCATATGGATTCCTCTAAGAAATAACAATTAATTATGAATCAGAAAGTCAAATTCGCGAAGTTGTATATATCCAATACAGTCTTTTGGTTGATTGATTCTTCAGTAGCAATCAATTATTTGAAGAATAAATTACGCAGATATATGTTAATGATAGGTATGCGTTAGAAATTGCCACTTTCTACAGGGTGTTACAAATTCGTGGCTTAGCATGAAGATTTCGGTAACCTCAAGAAATACAGAGTGGGTTAAATTAGGGCAAAGTTGCACCAATTTATGCTCAACAAAATGCTGCATTCAAATTGGAAAATTTTCAATTATTTCCGGAGATATCCGGGAAAAAATTAAAACGTACAAAATCGTTTGTATTTATCACTCAGTTTATTTGAAGAGATATTTCAAAAATAAATGTCACTTTATCATCGCCACTTTTCCTCCTCTACAAAATGGAATTGTGAATTCTTCGTCGAGTGACCATCATCAACTTTATTTTATTAAATACGGACCTGAATTTTTTATTTCATTTCTCGATAGTTTTTCGATCTCCTTGATATGATGGTGTGTACCAAAACAATTCATAAAACATAATTTTTTAAGAAAGGTATAGAGATTCTCATCTTTGTCTAACACAGCGTTTTTTGTATTAATTTGTCTTTGTCTAACACATTATTCAGTGCAAAGTACCTACCTTCTACTTAATTGAATTGCTCCTATTCATTCAAATGTATTATTTTAGTTATATCAAGCCTTAGGTCACTCCCCCACTATCTTCCAAGCTGAAATACATGCCATCAACCTTTGCGCCCAAAGGTGCCTGAGCAAAGGTCTGAGGGGTGCCAACATATATATCTGCTCAGACAGCCAAGCCGCACTAAAAGCCCTAAAATCATTCGTTGTCACATCAAAGATCACATGAGACTGCTTCGAAACACTCATGCAACTGGGAAAACAACAGGTCAACGACAAGCGAAAAGGTTCATTAACCATTCGCAGAACAGAGCTAAAGCTTATCACAGGCTTTCTCACAGGACACGGCCCTCTGAGGTACCACCTCAAAAAGATGGGCCTGGTGGAGACTGACACTTGCCGCTTTTGTAACAATGCGACCGAAACCGCGGAACACATATACTTTGCTCATGTGGAGTATTAGTCCGCCCACGGCTGAACCACCTAGAACAGGTCTATCTCACCCCTGTTGAGGTGGAAAATTCAACCGTCAGGAAAATTGTAGGCTTCATCAGAAGTCTAGAGGGTTAGAAGACCAAAAGTAGATAAAGGTAATTACAATTAATAGATCTTCTAGGTCGCAGTGATCGAGAGGTCTCCCAGCCTATACGACCCATCTACAATCTACATCTAGTTATATCAATCCAAAAATGAAAATTAAACAATTATTATTGTTTATTATTTTAATGATATTTATGAATGAGGAAAACCAAATTTAATCAAACATTTAATTGAGTTTTCTTTTATAGTAAATTCTCAAAAATATTTCCTTTTGCGTTTAAGCATTTATTCGCTTTTTCTAAAACCGCCGATCTTTACGAAGGCGATCTGTTTAAAAATCTGTGAAAAGAGTTTTAGAAAAAGCAAATGAATGCTCAAATGCAAACGGAAATATTATTGAGTCTTTACTATGAAAGGAAACTGAATGTTCGGTATTTTTGCGTAATATTGATTTATTATTTCGAAGAAGATCGAAAACTATCGAAAAATCGAATGAAATATCCAGGTCCGTATTAAAAAAATGATGTTTATGATGACCGCTCGAAGAAGAAACGTCGGATTTCCAATTTGACACTTCCATTTTCTAGAGGAGGAAAAATAGCAACGATGAAGTGACCTTCATTCTGAAATATCTCCTCAAATAAACTGAGTAATGACTAAAAACTATTTTGCATATTTTCCTTTTTTCGGATATCTCCAGAAATAATTGATTTTGTTTGCAATTCCAAAGCAGCATTTTGTTGAGCATGAAATGGTGCAACTTTGCCCTAATTTTACTCTCCACATGCTCAGCCACGAATGTGTAACACCCTGTATATTTGTAAGAATCTGTTTGAACGAATATCAGGTGAAAGAAATTCTCCTAAAATGCTCGAAAATTTAGATTTGGAGCACTCTCCAAGCAGGTAAATAGCTATCTAATGTGAATATACATAATTAGAAAACAACACACGTACCTATAGGTACTCAACCAAATAAGAACGATATTTTTTATCCTCTCAGAAACTAGTTCAAATCTTCTCAATGCCACTGGACGGACAATGAATTTCTCAGAATAATTGGTAAATTAACTTTTGAAAGTGACCATGCAAGCATCGGTTGACCTGTGGTAAATTTACGAATATCTGAAGAATCCTATGGTTATCTTTGGTAGAAACCATAATGAATCAATCTATTAGTAGGTAGTATAAATGAATAGGAGAAAGATCTAAAATGCCAGCTCGTATTCTTCCGATCATAAAATCCAAAGATTCGAGCATCCCTTTTTACTTTAATTTCCAGTATGGAGACACTTACGACTGGGACAGCAAACTCCAAGGTCTCATCCTTGGCTCATACTTCTGGGGATTCACCTTGACCGGCTTTCCCGGAGGTATTCTTGCTGAAAAGTATGGCGCTACCAAATGCATCACAATTTCCTTCGTCGTCAGTGGGATTTTAACATTGATAGCACCATGGGCTGCTTCTCTCCATCCCACCGTTTTGATCATTACAAGGTTCTTGATCGGAGCCTTCGGGGTGAGTTTTAATCAATATCAATCCATACATTGTAAAGAACTGAATCTCAATCAGGCTAAAGTCTGAATTCGAGAAAAAAGTCTGAATTCAGAGAAAACAGTCTGAATTTAGACTTTAAAGTCTGAATGGAGAAATAAAATAAAATACACACAACAGTGGCCTTTCTATGCTTTCGTAAATTTCTATCTACTATTAAATCAGTTGCAACTATTATTGCTGAACCGCTATGCTACTTAATAAATGAGTCTTTTATGGCTGGTACTTTTCCAGATATAAAGGAATCTAAAGGTGTGCCAATTTTCAAAAACAAGGGATCTAGTACTGATATCAAAAACTACAGGTTGATTTGTATTCAAAATCAAATATCGAAAATTTTTGGATTAGCTTATTGTCATAGATTAACAAAATATTTAGAATATTTCAAACTACTTCCTGACATACAGCACGGGTTTAGAAAATCTAAATCAACTACAACTGCTATTCAAGATACATTGGAATATTTATACAAATCTCTCAATAACAAAGAAAACTCACTGTGTCTTTTCTATGATTTGAGCCATGCCTTTGATACAATAGATAGAAATTTACTATTGCAAAAATTAGAGGCCATAGGTGTCCGTGGAATACCACTCGATTGGGCTAAATCATATCTATCCAATCGAACACAAATATCAATGTTCAATATCATCAAATCCCAACCAAGAGAGTCCAGGCTAGGAGTCCCCCAGGGGTCAATCCTAGGTCCCTTATTTTTTATTATATTTACATCTGATATCAAAAGGTGTTGTCACCTTTCAGAACAAATGGTACTGTATGCTGACGATACCAATATCTTGATGTCCAATAAGGATACTGAACAACTAGTTACAAATAGTAACGCAGCTTCTGAAGAATTCAATAAGTATTGTTCTCAAAATGGACTTCAACTTGATGTTACAAAAACATTTTTCATGCGATTCATACCACGAAATTTATCACCAGATTATGACCTCTATTTACATATTCAAGGCAAATCAATTCAATCCACAGACACTATGAAGTTTTTGGGAATCACACTTGATCCAAAATTGACATGGGAGCCACATATAAGCAGAGTTTCTTCTAAATTGAGTACATGCTGCTATATAATTAGAAATTTAAGAGAAACAGTATCGTTTGATGTACTAAGACTGTTGTATTTTGGCCTGGTACAATCAACTTTACAATATGGACTGATATTTTGGGGATCATCAGCACACTTTGAGAAAGCTTTCATCGCTCAGAAAAAAATCATAAGAATCATGTTCAATGTTCATCCATCGACTACCTGTAATAATCTCTTCATAAGAGCACAAATAATAACTTTACCTAGCCTATTTATCTATTGCTTGGTTATCTACATTCGAGCTAATGAGCATAAGTTTGAGAGGAATGAGGATATACACTCGCATAATACAAGATCAAAATGTGATATTCATCAAAGTTACTCACGTCTACAAATATGTCAAAATTCACCTAATTATATAGGAATCAAAATATACAGGTCGCTGATATGTATGGAAACAGGTGAATATCTCGGTAACCTGTTGTTGGATTTTTTTGAATTCATGTACTGTGTGATTTCAAAACGTGGCAGATTTGAAAATGTTATAGCCAATGTTGCCACTTTTTCAGTTATACCGGATTTTTTATTAACTTCCTTATTTTGAATAGAACACCCTGTAATTTATTGGATTTTTAGATTCTCCCTGAAGAGCTAATTCCATCGATCTATCACACTTGGGGTCTGGCAGGAATGAATACATAGGTATATTGTGTTTAAAATCTAGATTTTTCAACTTTAGTATTTTTTTGTGTCGAAACTATTCATTATCGATCAAAACCGCTCCAATGTTCCCATATCTTTACTTCTGATTTACTATCTACTGACATTTAATTGAAACAAATACAGGGTGGTTCAAGATTCAGAATTCTGATCACCCTCTGTATCTGTTCCAATTAAATAGTCAGTAGATGGTAAATCAAAAGTGAAGATAGGAACATTGAAGCGGTTTTGATGGATAATGATGGATAGTTTCTACACAAAAAAATCTTGAAGTTGAAAAACCTAGATTTTAAACACCCTATACCTGTAATCATTCCCGCTCGACCCCAAGTGTGATAAATCGATGGAATCAGCTCTTCAAGAAGAATCTGGATATCCAATAAAGTACAGGGTGTTTCACTCAGAATAAGGAAGTTACTAAAAATCCGGAATAACTGAAAAAGTGGCAACAGAGGCTATAACATTTTCAAATCCGCCACGTTTTGAAATCACACTGTACATAAATTCAAAAAAATCTAACAACAGATTGCCGAGATATTCACCTGTTTCCATACATATCAGCGACCCTGTATAATAAGTTTGAACTTATATACGAAAATTATGAAAACTATAACATATCATTTGAGACTATACTTAAAAGATTCCTACTTGAAAATGCATTCTATTCCATAGAGCATTTTCTTCAATTTTGAAATGGTTTTACTTATTTTTTAATTTTGTTGTGAACGTATTTATAATGATTACTTTGAAATGATTTTAACTTATATTTTAATCAATTTGTGAATGTATTTATATTGATTATTTGTTATCATTATGTTCGATTTTAAAACTACTATATACTTGAATCTTGACTAGGCTGATAAGTGTTATGCATTTTACTTATGTACAACCTTTAATGCTGCAATAAATCATATCATATCATATCATATCATATCATATCATATCATAACTTACAGGGTGTAGTTTTCCCGAGCCTCCACTGCTTGGTGGCCCGTTGGGCGCCACCCGACGAGAAAGGAAAATTCGTCGGAGCCCTTTTGGGCGGATCCCTTGGCACCGTCATCACGTGGCCCATGTTGGGAGCCATCATAGAAACTATGGGATGGGTGTCCGCTTTTTTGTGCTGTGGGGTCCTCGTCTTGTGTTGGACGATTTGCTGGTTCTTTTGCGTGACAGATTCCCCGGAAGAGCATTCCCGGATTTCCTTAGAGGAGAAGAGATATATCGTGGATAGTTTGGCCGGGAAGATAACCAATGTCAAAGTAAGATAGAGAATTGTACGCTCCTTCATAGAGATAAATGGGATGGAATAAAATATACAGTTAAATTGGATTTATATGACAATTTACCATAGCAACGTATGTATTTTAGTGAATATTTTTTTCTCGTTGGTACCCACCAGCGTATCAAATCGGAAATTGTTTTATGACGTTTTAGTGACAGAATAATATTTTGACGTCCCTAAATAGTGATTTTGTGCCACTTCAATTGGATTAAGATCACAAATTAATGGGTTGCGTGCAAGAACTGTCAGATGACCGACGCTGGAGGCAAAACATTGAAACCCAATGTCACTTTTCTTATTTGTTTACAAGTGATCAAAATAGTTTTTCACAATTATTTTGGCATACGAATCGTATTTTTCCGCTATTCATCAATTCGCTCATGCCATCACATTGTGCTGTTGTAAAATGCACAAAAACTGCAGCGGAAGATGAAGGAATCCGGATGGTACATTATGATTTAAAAGTAAGTACCTACTATAGTCACTCACCTATAGTTTTCATTTTTGAAATTTGGTAATTTCTCATCGGAATTCCTTCTGCGATAGGAGCTAATAGAAATACACCTGAAATTTCTAAAATAATGCAAGAAGATTGGATTCAAGCAATCAATCGGGAGGACTGGTCTGACATGCTGATGATCGTGTGTGTTGCGTAGACATTTTCAATCTATTAGATTAGCAGTATTAGCTTGTATTGCAGGAGTGGCAGAAGGCAGAAGGAATTTTAATAAGGAATGACAACATTTCATAATGATAACTATGTGAGATGACTATTTACCTGAAAAATCATATTCCTTAGTCTCTTGTTGCATTTTTTGTGCATTGTACACCAGCACAATGCGAAGGCATGCCTGAATTAATGAATAGCGCAAAAAACACGATTCGTATGCCAAAATATTGTGAAAAACTATTTCAATCCTTTGATTCCTCTGTAACCAAATAAAAAAGTGAGGTTGTGTTTCAATAATTCACAGAAGAGTGAGGTTGTGTTTCAATATTTAGCCTCCAGGGTCGGTCATCGTGCACGCGACCTATAGGATAATGAGAATCCTTTGATGCCCCAACTGCATCTATTATATAGAATGTCATAACACTACCTAGGCCATTGTAAGGAGTTATGGAAGGCTAAAATTCGAAATCTCTGGTACTGATACGCTTCGACTCAGAATAATTTCCAAAATATCCATGAGCCCGAAAAAATTTCCGGAAATAATTTGACCACTAGTGCTATTACAAGTGAAAATGTTTGTGTATATTCCAACACCTATTCCTCCTCTCTCTATCCTCCCCTCCCTATCCTCCCTAGCTACGTACGCACGATGTTCCACGAACATTATAGGAATTTTCTTTCGTGCGCTCCAAGAGATAAAAGAAAGATCTGAGAATCGGCCGTGAACTATTTTTCAAATCGAAAATTCAAGATGGTGGACGAGTTTTGTGATCCGATTTCATTCAAAATTGGTATATGGGGGTTTTTGGGGTTGGAGGTTATGATTCCTCCGTCGAAATTTGGAAAATCAAGATGGCGGATACAATATATGGCAAACGAGTTCTGTAGTTATGGTCCGATTCTATTCAAAATTGGTATCTGTGGGTTTCCTGGGTCTGAGATTATGATCCCTTCGTCATAATAAGAAAATTCACATGGCAAATACAACATGGCGGACGAGTTTGCCAATTATAATCCGATTTTATATAAAATTGGTATCTGGGGGTTTTCGGAGTCGGATTCGAGATTATGATTCTTTTTCAAAATTTGGAAATTCAAGATTACGGAACCAATATGGCGGACGAGTTTTGTAATTATGTTCCTTATTTTCTTCTCAAGATTGATGTCTGGGGATTTTCGGGATCGGAGATTATGATCCCTTCGTCAAAATGAGGAAAATTCTAGATGGCGGATCCGAAATATTATAGTGGAAGTTCTCTCAAATTTTAAAACGTCATATTGACATGGATTCAATTACGTTTGTTCAATTTCATCAACTTCCTATCTAATATTTATACTACCGTTCAGTAAATCAATACACTGTCACTGAGTCACTGTCCCTAATGCATCAGAGGGACTATGTTGAACAAACTTATCACAATTTGGAACTACTATGAAACTAATGTATAGTGATTGTAGATCAGTTGTATAGGGTATCAAAATTGAAAAGTCTTACATTAATTCTATTGTCTATTGTAGTGGTGACAATCTGATGATAATTATTATTGAAAAACCAATGGGATAAATTAGAAGATATCTCTGCAGAAAAAAGTTCCATCAATAATTTCATAAGATATTATACACACACTGGCACAATTAGGGGAACGGGCAAAATTTACACTCAGTTTGACATCAATTTTCTTTCGAACCGATTGCTCGATTCAATTTTCTTTCTTCACGAAATGTAGCTTCATTCTTCACGAATACATCTGAGAAATAATCACCTTCAAAAGATGAGTCTTTCCATCATATACAGGGGTGTAAAGAAAGTACGGATTTTTCAGTATTTTTTTAGACATCCTGTGGACTGAATCACTGATAATTGAAACGATTTCTCAACACCAAATTGGAGTCCAATCTATTCCGAATATTTTCGTTTTTTATTCATCTTGATATCTCAATTATTCAAGAAAATACAGAGTTTCAAAGGAAAGGTGGATATTGGTATCAATTTTACACCTCAAAACTCAAATTGGATCTGAAAATGTGCCGTTTCTTGACTAACCTAACCTAACCATGACTAAACCTCTACCATAGGAGACAGAAGCAGTGAAATCAAATTGTTCATTTTGTTCACCTCGGCGATATAGTCTTTCCCTGTCATCTATTGAATTGGTGCAGATGCGGCTCTCATATGTTAAAAGAACATTGGCCTACTGGTCATTTTCAATGAATGCTACAGCCCTCGCCACATCAGTAGGAGTCAAATCTCTCATGTTGAATTTTCATGACTGAAAATCGCTTGACTTTGACAATAATTAATGACATTAACAAAATAGCCAACGTTGATTAACAAAAATAGCATTTTACCAAAAGAACACTGGAGCAACTTTTATCACCCCTGCATATTCATGAGAGTATTCGTATATGTGTCTTTGAACAGTTAACCGATAGGTAAAACTGTGAACAATTCTCATCTTGGAGTAAAAATCCTCACAGAAACAAGTTGAAAAACGACACGTTCTCCCCAGTTCGAGTTTCGAGGTGGTAAAATTAATACCAATATCCACCTCTTCTTTGAAACTCTATATTTTCTTGGATAATTGGGATATCAAGATGAATAAAAAACGAAAATATTCGGGATAGATTTTGCTATAATTTGGTGTTGGGAAATCGGTTCAATTATCAGTGGTTCACTCCACAGGATGTCTTAAAGAATACCGAAAAATCCGTACTTTCTTCACACCCCTGTATATGATATAAAGACGAATCGTTTGGAGGTGGTTATTTCTCAGATGTATTCGTGAAGAATGAAGCTAAAATTCGTGAAAAACAAATTTGAATCGAGTGATCGGTTCGAGAGAGAATTGATGTCAAACTTAGTGTAAATTTTACCCGTTCCCCTAATTGTGCCAGTGTGTGTAAATGGTACAATGAAAATTTTCAATTCAATTAGGTTGGCATCTTATTGCAAACAAACGAGTGATAGTTGCTTCAAGTGTAATGTGAAAAATCACAATCATAGTTCAACTTTCACTTCTTTTTCAGAGACCTCCTCCTTACAAAGACCTGGTTCTTTCCATACCGTTCTGGGCATTAATAATCCTCCACTTCGGAAACCTTTGGGGACTCTTTTTCCTCATGACTGCCGGTCCAAACTTTCTCTCGTCTGTCCTGGGATTCACTCTAGGCCACACTGGCATCCTGGCGGCGTTGCCATACTTGGCCAGGTTGATTTTCGGGTTTTTATTCGGATTGCTGGGAGATCTTATCGTGAAACGGTCTTGGATGGAAAAAACTACGATCCGGAAGAGTTTCGTGTTATTTTGTGAGTGAAATAGCTTTTGGTATACAAATTACAACCATGGTATATAAAGTTTAGAATGTAAAAGAACAAATACAATGGGGAAGGCCACTGAGGGATGGAATCCGTCCAATTCTCTTTTAATCGATGCATCATGATAAACATTCAATGTACAATCAATCATCTCGTGGAACATTTCGAATATTCTCACAAGTTGCACTCAATGTTCTGAGAATATTCTGAGAACGTGCAAATGGAACGAAAATTTACGTTCCAAGATTGTTCTCATAATATTTTTCAGGACATTCTCGGAACATTCTATGAATATGTTGGATTGTTTGATAACTAAAAAACTATCATGGGATTTTAAAAATATGATATCTAACCAACAACATGGTTTCTGTCGGGGTCGATCAATATCAACAAACCTGTTGTTTTAATAAGCTGCAAGTAGACTCTATTTACACAGACTTTTTTATTAAGCCTTTGATAGAGTCAACCATAGTCTGTTATATTGGCAAAAAAAGCGAAAAGCTGACTTTGAGCGCCGATATCTCAAAAACTATCTGCCCTACGGGGCTGATTATAGTCTCATTCGATTCAGCAGGTCATTTTCTACTGAAAAAGCGATAATTCGCGTGGATTTTTGCCGTTTTCTGGCCCTTTCGGCTGTCCGAAGATGGCTCGGTAACTATATCGTATGAAAGTCTTTGAAAATTTTTATTTGGCCTATTAAAGATCTAGAAAAAATTACATAGACTAATGCGATATCGAAAGAACGAATCCGTGGTGGAAATCGAGAAATTCTGAAAAATGGAGACGTATTAGTCTACCTGAATGCTCCTATTGGCAAAAAAAGCGAAAAGCTGACTTTGAGCGCCGATATCTCAAAAACTATCTGCCCTACGGGGCTGATTATAGTCTCATTCGATTCAGCAGATCATTTTCTATTAAAATGCGATAATTCGCGTGAAATCCTGCCGTTTTCTGGCACTTTCGGCTGTCCGAAGATTGCCCGGTGACTATATCGTATGGAAGTCTTAGGTGGGAAAATGAACAATTTTATTTGGCCTATTGAAAATCTGAAAAAATTCACATGGACTGATTCGATATCAAAATGGACGAATCTGTGGTGGAAATCGGGAAATTCTGGAAAATGGAGACGTAGTAGTCTACCGGATCGCTCATATTGGCAAAAAAAGCGAAAATATGACTCTGAGCGCCGATATCTCAAAAAATGTTTGTCCTACGGGGCTGATTATAGTCTCATTCGATTCAACAGGTCATTTCCTACTGGAAAAGCAATGATTCGCGTGAATTTTTGCCGTTTTCTGGCCCTTTCGGCCGTCCGAATATGGCTCGGTGACTATATATCGTATGGAAGTCAGGTGGGAAAATGAAAATTTTTATTTGGCCTATTAAAAATCTGAAAAAATCCACATATACTAAATCGATATCGAAATGAACGAATCTGTAATGAAAATTCGGAAATTCTGAAAAATGGAGACGTAGTAGTCTATCGGAGTAATCCTATTGGCAAAAAAAGCGAAAAGCTGACTTTGAGCAGCGATACCTCAAAAACTATCTGTTCTACGAGGCTGATTATAGTCTCATTCGATTCCGCAGGTCATTTTCTACTGGAAAAGCGATAATTTTCGTGTATTTCTGCCGTTTTCTGGCACTTTCGGCCGTCCGAAGATGGCTCGGTGACTATATCGTATGGAAGTCTTAGGTGGGAAAATGAGAATTTTCATTTGGCGTATTAAAAATCTGAAAAAATTCACATAGACTGATTCGATATTGGAATGAACGAATCTGAGGTAAAAATCAGGGAATTTTGGAAAATGGAGATGTAGTAGTCTACCGGAGTGCTCCTATTGGCAAAAAAAACGAAAAGCTGAGTTTGAGTGCCGATATCTCAAAAATTATCTGTCCTACGGGGCTGATTATGGTCTCATTCAATTCAGCAGATCATTTCCTACTGGAAAAGCGATAATTCGCGTGAATTCCTGCCGTTTTCTGGCACTTTCGGCCGTCCGAAGATGGCCCGGTGACTATATCGTATGGAAGTCTTAGGTGGGAAAATGAAAATTCTTATTGGCCCGGAAATACTCCGAAAACGGAACACAGTATCGAGTTTCACCAAGACTACCTCTTTGGTGTGAAACTGAATGATGTTCAAGTTCACATCAAATTTGGATTGAAAAATCTAACCTCAAAAAATTTATGTTCAAAACTAATCGGTACGAACCGTGTAACTAGTGCTCTCTATGAGAGTCAGATATAAAAACAAATGCATGCGATGTGTCAGATTCCAAGAAACATCCATACAAAATTTCATCACAATGTTGTCAATAGTTTCAACATAATCGTAAAAAATGTGTAAAAAAAATATTGTTTCAACACCTTGTATCTTGAAAACGGATGGCGTAACGACATTTTTTCACTGAGCAAACCCAACTTATATTGCAATGTTCAACCTACCCTAGCAAGGTGGTTAGGTTTTTTAGAAACACCCTGTATATTGGTAGTATTTCGATATAGAGCTTGAAATGATGTCGTTTTGTGAATCAGTGGTCTTCCCCTTGGAGCCTTGGACAGTATATGTATAGCTTCCTTCATTTTTTACTGAAATCAAACATATCATCGTTGATATTTCTCTGACTATTATTTCCGGGTTTTCAGCTCATATTATACCTGGACTGTTCCTCATAGTCCAAACATTCACTGGGTGTGACGTAACTTGGGCCATAGTTCTGATAACTCTATCTCTAGGAATGAACGGCGCTTCAACTTTGACTAACCTACAAAACGCTCAAGATTTGGCGCCCAACTTTGCCGGTACCATTTACGGCATAGCCAATTGTATAGGGAGTACCACAGGGTTCATATCTCCGACCATCGTGGGCTACCTCACTGCAAAACATGTAAGACTGATTTTGAAAAAAAAAAATTGGTCTCTATGAATTTTTTTTTTCAGAATGGTTTGGAGGAATGGCACACCATATTCTACATTGGTTCCATTGTGTATATAGCTTGTGGTCTGATTTTTTGCTTATTAGGAAGTGGAAATTTACAACCCTGGAATGGTGTTGAGCATGTGACTAAAAAAGATCTTGATGGAATTGAAAATATTGGGTTTGATGACGTCAAAACGCAAACGGCGGGAGAAGCGAAAGAAATTTCAAAACTATGACATCAATAATTGAAAGATTAATACAGAAATGTTTTTCATTTTAAGATATTGATTGTGTACATAACTGTGTGTATATTATGTAATATTGACTGTGATTTCTTTTTTTGTTACTGGTCGAAATTCAGTAAATATTTATAGATCATGTTGGAGTTTACTTCCTCATAAATATTTCACCTTGATTTTGAAAAGTATCAAGAATAAACAAGTTTGCATAAAGAATTGTGGTTCGAAAACAATGGAGTGATCTTTTATTCCTATTGTGATAAAAGTTTCAAAATAGCATAAAACATATCTACCGAAGATTATTACCTACTTATAAAATTATAACAAACTGTGATGAACGAAGAAAAAGTATACGGGGTGGCCACTTTTTCAACGGGATTGTATTCTGGTATCTTCCAAATTATACTAGTTGAATGAAGAAACAGTTGCGTATCGTTCTGAAAATGAATGAAGTATAACAAAAAAAAAACGAAACCCAGCAAACAAAATTACATCACAAAGATATCGCAGTGATGTAACAATTGTGATCTGTGACATCGCATTCTATGTCGCATAGACGTCGCTGCGATGTCAGAGGGATGTTATTTTGTCCCACTGAAGTTGTATCCATTCGACGTCGCTGCGATATAGCAGCGATATGTTTTTTGCAATGTAATTGGATATGTTATTTGTGATGAAAAAGCGATGTGTTTTTGCGATATTACTATGATATGATGCGTAACGAAACATATATGGTGCGATAACCTAACCTGACTTCTGATGACATCTAATATTGATTATATGTTTTGTTGTGACTGGTTGGTGGTTCCTAGGATCTCCTGTTCCTGTCCATCCAATCGTATTTTCAGCGGCGCTGTCCTTGGTATCTACGAATGTCATTCAAAATGAGATCTACTCGTAATATTGTATAAAAAATTATGTAGTGTGTGTGTCGGTGAGATGTGAACAAACAAAGAATAGTTTTATAGCAATGTCACGAATAATTGCGAATTTAGCTTAACTTCGTTGAGTAACGTATATTCAGGTACTCTTTTTCACCGAGCAACAATCTACTTAAATAACAAATATTTGAAAAATTCTCGCAAATCAGTGCGCTTCTTTACATCGCAACGATACAACATTCATGATATCGCAGTGTTGCCTTATCACGCGACATCTCATGTCGCAGATTAGTTTGCTTCTGTACATCCCAGCGATGGAACATTCGTATTATCGCAGTGTTGCCTCATGGCGACATCTCAGAGATGTCATGTCGCAGATGTGTTTGCTCATGAACATCGCAGCGATGAAACGTTTGTGATATCGCACTATCGCCTATATGCGACATCCCAGTGATGGCATGTCACAGATGTGTTGACTGGGGTATGTGAAATAAATTGCAGATACTCGGCAAAATGGATTTTTTCTGTATTTTATTCTCAGTAGAAATAAGTTTATCACAATATTCGGGTTGTACATCGATAGCTTGTTGCATAATTGATACAAAGAATGTCAGTTTGACAGTAGTTGAAATATAATACGACCGCGAAGCGGGAGGATTCATCTGTCAAACTGACACGATTTGTAATTATTGTGCAGGAAATTTGAGATGTATAATCTTGAAGATTATGAGGTTTGGATTGTATTTGATTATTTCTTGAGTAGTCTGAAACGAACGTCAAAATTTGACGACGAGTTTTGTTTGTAGGTATGGAATTAGTTACAATGGACATATTTATAAATTTCTGATTGATGGAGCTACTCTATATGTATATCCACGTATGATCGATATTATAGCTTAAGTAATCTGAATGGTTTGAAATCATACGACGAAAATAATCATTATTATACTCACAAACTATAGTCACTTTTTCACCTTCAGTTATAATTTTCTTATAGGATACCTACTAATTTCACATTTACAAAATTCTGAGAACATGAAATACATAATGTGTATGATTATACACAAAGGGATTCACTAAAATTGGTGCCATTCTAGGTAATCTGCTAAATAATAGTAATTTACTTAGATAAAGTATACGGTTTCACATTCATTTTTAGAGATTACTATCTGTTATTGTGAGAGAACTTAATATTTGATTCAGTGCAAACAATTTTGGAATTTGAAGGTGATCACTCTCCGAGTAGTTCAATCCACAATTGAGAAAGAGAGAGATTCAATACATGATTGATTGAATAAGAAAAGAGAGGTAACTTTAAATTGAACCAGCGAAATAGAAAGACTTGTCAAGATTTTAATCCAGTGATTAATAAACTTTTTCGGTCGACCTCGTATTAACGACTTAGACTGAGTTTAATGTATATGAAATCGTTCATTAAGACCCCTATTAATGAACGATTTGTCTATTAATGCACGATTGTTTCATAGGCAACCAAACATACACCGCGTGCTTTCATTGTATATGCTTAATGGATTTCATCGAAGATTTTCCGTTAAAGGGTTCGCCTTTCCAAGTTTCTGACACGATTTCAATCCCTGTTTTCTAACACAAGAATTTATTTTCTATCTTGATCATTTCGTCAAATGTCAATAATGTCAGTAACAAGGCTACTGGGTGATTCTTAGCAGTTTCCGGATTAATGATGAATTCGCGAACCAAGTTTTCTTCATAGCAGGAGAAATGAGAAATATAGTCGTCGCTTCGCTCGCACGTTAAAGTATCTCGATCATTAATCGCCCTCATTAATACACTAGTTGGTTAAATAACTATTTCCGTCGACCTCGTATCAACGCCTTAGTTTAATGTATATGAAATCGTTCATTAATGACCCCTATTAATGAACGATTTGTCTATTAATGCACGATTGTTTCATAGGCAACCAAACATTCACCGCGTGCATTCATTGTTTATGCTACAACTTACGGAATCTGCATTTAAATCGAAAATATGGATTTCATCGAAGATTTTCCGTAAACGGGTTCGCCTTTCCAAGTTTCTGACACGATTTCAATCCCTGTTTTCTAACACATGGAATTTATTTTCTATGTTGATCATTTCGTCAAATTTCACCAATGTCAGTAACAAGGCTACTGGGTGATTCTTAGCAGTTTCCGGATGAACCAAGTTTTCTTCATAGCAGGAGAAATGAGAAATATATCTCGATCATTAATCGCCCTCATTAATAAACTAGTTGGTTAAATAACTATTGAGGAATAGCGATAAGGGTCATGTTTACATTTTGTATTTGGGTATCATCCCATAGTAAATATACGAAAATCAGGAAAAAATATGGGTTCCTATAGTCTGTATTTAGTAAAAGAAGTAATGTTTGCCACCTAAGGAATGTAATTTGAGTATCATTTTGAACTCAGGAATATCGAATATGATTATACCTTGATTTCCTATTTCCTATATATATCGACAGGTAAATTCTTATAGCGGACTCTTAGATGGTTATTTAAACATTTTCAAGAAAGTACCAACAAGATAACAGTTATCTAGATAATGATGATCATTATTTTATTATTTTGCATAATCAGATAGACCTGTTTTCGACAGAATCTAATTTGAGAAGCAGAGGTTCCACTCCGGGAATTTGCACAAAATTATCATTGTCAGGCGAACCTGTAGATATAACGAGTTGGTAGTTAGGTACCTGCTTAACATTTTAGCAGGTATAACACTTCCATCATATACTTAGTAATAATCATACCAACAGTTATTTAGTCATTTCAGCGCGACTGACTAACGTGTGAATACTGTGAATGATTCGAGTCAACAAATCAAAGTAATATACTGTTAGGTATTCCAGAAAATTGGGATAGTTATGTACCTACCTGTGAAGTGCTGATGGTGAAGACGTGACCATCGTGACAAAAGATAGTGGATTCGCGGTTTCCTCCAATGGTTCACGATTGAGTATTTTGTGGTTCACAGTTTTTTTATAGTATCCTCTAGCCATTCTCGCCAAATGATGATCTAAAATCTTCCAGCGGGTAAGTAAGTATTTTTTTATTTATCTATAAAATAATCTTTTGATTATCTAGCTGTTGGTCAATGATGGTTGAAAGCCTAAATAGAAAATGTAAGAACCTCATTGATTGTTGTACAGTATTTTTTATAATGCGCTGTTTTCCTCTTTAATAAATAGGTAATGATAATTGTCTGACGAAGCAGAAATGATTATCAAAATAAATAAATTATCGAATGGTATAACAACATTCTAATAGAAACTACTACAATTTCCAGGTATCATTTGGAGTGAAAATATTTTTACAATTATGTTTTATGTAGGTATGAAGATAACCCACTTTTCAATATATCGTTCTTCATGTTGTATTATATAGTGTGTGTATATCGGAAGAATATGGTTATACTCACCTTTCTGAAGATTTTGCCATTCAAATTATGTACGAACTTGATAGTTTTTGAAATATGTCTTATCAGCTCTGCAATCATTCACAATTTTAATTCATGGAAACTAAAACAAATATAATACTTCGAATTATCTGCAGCAATCGTAACATCCAAAGTTAAAAAAAATTATTGAGTTTTCAATCCAAAAGGTGAAGAAATTTGTATAGTGCTTCCGGTCAAACCACTGTAAGTCTTAGTTAGATATTTAACTCTTGAAGATTTTGAAAATGATTTACCTATATCGTTTCATGAGAAATTGACAGGCTGTCCTCGATAGTTTTTGAAATATGTCTTATTTATCAGCTGCAATCATTTACAATTTTAATTCATGGAAACTAAAACAAATATTATACTTCGAATTATCTGCAGCAATCGTAACATCCAAAGTTAAAAAAACTATTGAGTTTTCAATCCAAAAGGTGAAGAAATTTGTATAGTGCTTTCCGGTCAAACCATTGTGAGTCTTAGTTAGATATTTAACTCTTGAAGATTTTGAAAATTATTTACCTATATCGTTTCATAAGAAATTGACAGGCTGTCCTAGTCATTGAGTTGAATGCGATATAAAGAACTAACAGCAAATATTTCCATGTATTTTATTAGAAAAATAATATAGCGAAACACTTGATGTGTTCATATAACTTTTTTTTTTAATTTTCTGTAGTAATACATAGTGACTATAATAATAATACCATTACAATGAGCTATTATTATGTCGTTGTCAAGTAGTTAAGTACCTAGATAAAAAGCTTTGCGAAAAAAATTAGTTGGCATTTGTATT